TGGACAATTTCTGGATGGTAATAGTTTCATTGTTCTTGGCTGTTTAATTCATTCTATAACAATCAGCTTATAGGTACTGAGCCCTTTTGTTGTGCTGAATAATTCCAAGTAATAACTCATGCATTAATACAATTATGAAACATTCATGAAGTTATTCAAAACTTGAATGCTATGCATAGCGCCCCCAGCACAATCTGACATGGTCTACAATCTGATGTGTATTCAAACTAAACTGTCTGTGTTTTTGGTGTACAATTAAATCTACTATATTTCAGGTTCATTGTCATGGAAGAGAATTAACTGACCACAATCAAGAAAAAACACGCAACTATTAAATGGTTAAAACATTGCAGTTAAAAAAATCAAAAATCAAATCCAAAAATCCATATACATGTAAAAGCAAAACCAAAAAAAAGCATAAAACTGCATGATATAACTTATACTAACTCTATGATCAATCGGCAATTACAACTATGAAACAGAACCAGCACTTTGGAATTATCTTGGATGGAATGTCTTCTATCTTCCTAAGGCTTGTCATTTCACATATTGAAAAAGTCATTTGGTACATGTAGTGAAGAAATAATCTGTCAATCCAAAAGTCTTTCGTATTGGCTCAATCACACGACATTCTCTTCAACTTCATGTTTCTCATTATGATGACAGGGGAAAAAGCTTAACCCTCTCATAAGCCTTTTCGGAGTTCCGACTGCGCATTCGCAACCTGTGACAACGCGCATTATTTGTCTCAAATGGCCTTTGACAACATCGCGCCACTGACTTTACAAAAAGGCTGTTTGTGCATTGTGGGTACATGTACTGTCAAAGGGCATTTGAGACAAACAATGTGCGTTGTCACAGGTTATGAATGCGCGCAGTTGGAACTCCGAAAAGGCTTATTTGACTATAAAGTGCAATGCCTGTAACTGCCAGTCAGCAATTTCTTAAGTTGAGTTTATTTAGTTTGGACAGATAATTCAAAAGACTGGTTCTGTAATATTTCAAAATTAAATCTAAATAAAACTGCTTTGATAAACTATACTCAAGCCACTAAAAGACTCTGTTATTGTACATTATGTGCAGATACAGCTTTAAAAAAACAAATCAAAATTCATTTATAACCACACACTTGCTAATTATGTTAATAATGTCACAACCAACCAACAGCATCATTAATATCTGTACTGATAAATATTCATAACGTAAACTATGCATAATGCATGAAGCTTAACAACCATACTGCATTAAGAGTTACTACCAACGGTTAATACTGGTGTCAAAATATTGAAAACACAAACTTGCTATTAATGGGTAAATATTGCTCCACAAATCACAACTCTAAACAATAAAAAGGAAGAAAAAAAAATCAAAGAAAATTTGAAACCGACAACCTCACTAAATACCACTTCCAAACAAATTTTCCAAAACAAAAAGTCACATCAAACAATGCCCGATTCTGATCTGATAATTCAAAACCAGACACCCCAAACAAGAAAAATGAACAGCAACTTTATCTGGTAAAAATGTGCTCTGAGGTGTTTGATATTTTTATAAACAATTTTCAAAATTTGGATTTCAAAAAAAGTGGGTAAACATTGTGGAGACTTGCAATTAAAACGCACAAAAATATTCAACCATCCAAACCTCTTCAAATACACAATTAAAGATACTAACACAATACTCAACCAATACAATGGTCCTTTTTGTTCATGAAATAGCGCAATAATAAACACACCGTTAATACTTCAATACATGAAATAGCTGCTGAGTGGCTGAACAAGCCAGCGCTTTCTAAGTACAACTGTTTCTTGTAAACAATGACTAGCCGTGTCAGTAAGCTACAATTCATTTCATCCAATTAGTAAATACCAATCCATTAAATCCATAAATTAAACACATTGTGCAGGAAGGATATATGAATATTATATTAAGTGTTAAACACAATACTTTGGCCTTCAACTATCAGTGGTAACAGTAATCATTTCTATTATATACAAGTATAAGTACACTTCACGGCACAATGTTGACAAAAACGTCCTCGATTATTATTTTCCTTCATTGCATTAGTGAAAGGATTGGATACAAAAGTAAAAGTCAAGAAAAAAGGAACTTGTCTTGAAACCTCTCGCATGAACACGAAATCAATATTTGAATTGACAATGAAATGAATAACTGAAAAGTCCATTGTTTATTTCACGTAGGTGTTGTTTCAATATTGTTTCAAAAATTTCCGAAAAGGTTGCGGACATATAGTGACTGCGATCACATGTAAGAAGGAAAATAATACCAACTAAGGACAGTCCCAGCGGATCTTATATACATTACCATGGCAACTAAGCTAAAACCAGTGATAAATAGAATAGATATACACCAAAATACATAGCAACAAGATTTAATCGGGTAACGGTGGCAACATGAAGACTGAAGAAAGTGGTTCAATGTATAATGTGCATGTTTCTTTATATGTAATAATGTGACACTTTAACAGACTAAACTGTTCTTGTAACCTCATTCACTATTACACTAAATACACAACACATGAAACTGAGCAATATTCTGCATGAAAACTAATACATATCTGTGACCTGTTCTGTCAAAAGCAGACGCTTCTGGGCAGAGGTTGAAATTAAGATAGGGCCAAAAAACGCTGTGGGGGTGATTTTTTTTTCGATTTTCTAATTTTTGCTGATTTGTAATCCTGAACATGTCTAAAATATACTATAAAAGTTTGAAACTCTAATTTGAACTCTAAATATAGTATTTTTGATGATTTGTTGCGGTATATCAGATAAATAAATGTCTGTTTTGTGACGTTCGTGGCCATTTTCTCCGTTTTCTACTTTTCGACACAATGAACTTCAAAATAGCATAACTTTGCCCAGGAATGACCGGTTTAAAAAAATAAACCACCTATTAAAAGGGAAATGTACATATTTTAACAATATGCAAAAATCTCATTTTCGACCATATGCACAGAAAAGTCTGATGTTGACAGAACAGGTCACAATTCTGAGCAGTAAAGCGTCTAAACTGAACACAACTAGATTATAGCCAATCTACGTACCACCAAAGTCAACTGATATAGAACAGCATGGAATGAAGGATACTTATTCACACAACGATAACACAACTTGCAAGTCGCATATTATTACTTTTGATTGCATCCAATGATACTCAACAATTAAACAAACTACCCTGATGTCTCGTTACATTAGGCTGCATTACAGAAATCAGCTTATTATCATCTAGCCAAATCTGACAGATCTTCAGTTCTAAGTTCAGAAACACGGAAAGGCAAATCCAAACTGCACCCTTTTCATGTCAAAACTGAAGCTAAAAAAAAAAAATAGGAATTGACAAACAAAAGGTCTGGTGGAACAGGAGTTAGAAAGCTACATGACCAGCCCAATATCATAGAGCTGCTTAAGCACAAAATTTTGCTTAAGCACGAAAAAACGGTGCTTAGTAAAATTAGGTTACCGGCCAAAACTCCATGCGATGTACATTGCTTGTGACTGGTATTTAGTGGTTGTTTACTTAGCATAACAATTGCATGGAGTTTTGGCCGATAACCTGATTTTATTAAGCAAGACGTTTTTGTGCTTAAGCAAATTTTGTGCTTAAGCAGCTCTATGAAATTGGCCCATCATATGGTACTTCAGGGGTTGTGTACAAAGTCTATGGAGAGTCAAAAAAATTTTTTTTAAGTATTTCCAAAGAAAATTGGAAATGTTTCTCAGTCCCAGATTCATGTCTTATCATCTTTTTTGCAATGACTGACCTTCGTTGAGATGATATATGAAGAAAAAAGCAGTGTCAGGTTGCAACATTCTTTCCCAAGGAATTGACATATAGTACAACCGGTAGTAGCCAAAAGAGTGATGATTTTAAATTGAGTTAGAGAGTAAAGCTATAAATAAACAAAAAAACAGAAGGCAAAAAAAACTCTACCGTAATAATTTCAATAAAGTAAAGAAATACTTGGTGAAATTACTTGCCTCTGTAGCAGCAAGTTATCTCATCATAGAAATAATTTCTGTCTGATGTGTTCATTGATCTTTAAATTTAACTGACAAAGTTGCTAAGAAGGTGGCTGAAGAGAAGAATTCTTTTCAGTGCAATTGATTGCAGATGGCAAGACTTAGGACCAAACTTGAGGAGAAAAGGAACAATAATGTTTATGAAGGGAATAACCAGAGAGTTAAACTGAGAAAGAACTGAAGATCTATCAGACGACATACTCAACAAGATTTGATCACTTTAAAAAATCACATTTCATCTAAAATCTATAAAATACTAAGGATAAAATATTCATTACAGCAAGAAGCACCATACACCTTATATGAACTGTGCAGACTTTTTAAAAAACTTCATCTACAAAGTTAGTATTTATAGGTATTTATAATTCAAGATGTACGTACTGTATATCTGTGATGATATAGTCTATATACATTAGACAGCCCTCTGGTTATCACATCGGACGGCTATAGACTGGGATAGACTTAAGCACCATGGACGCCATTTTGAAATTCAAAATGAGGCTCCTGTAAATTTGGATTTTCTCCGCAAAACATTCAATCCATTTCACTTCAAAAATGGGGTGAGTTCATTTAAGGTGTACTGTCTGCGTAATTATTGCAAGACAACAGGCCTCATTTTGGCAGCAGAATGGTCACCATGGTAACTAAGTTTAATGGACAGCCGGGGAAAGACATTGTGAGAGCAGGGAATCCGAGTTGGTTACTCAAGATGTTACAACATCAAAGTGTCTAGCAAAAATACTTCAAATCTTTTACAAATCAGCAACACAAGTTCATTTTTTTTTTATCCAAACAGACGCTCACACCATAAAGTTAGACACAGCTGACCAACAGCCTTACAGCTGGCGAAGATTTGACAGCTATCACAAGATCAAACAAGTACTAACTGCTAATAATAGTATTGGAAACTTAATCCAAGATTAAACATATGCAAATCTTATGTTTCAATAATCCCCATTCTATTTCAAGTCAAATGACCGTGTTAAGAAATCCACAATGTTTCAGAATTTGCCTTCGGCTTGAAGAAGCTTGCGTTGTTTACATAATATGAAATCTTTCGGTCAACTGTTTGGTGTTTGTACTTCACTGATACTTAGTGAGTAGTGAATGGAAGATCTTTGATACAATAAGACTTGCATTCATGGCACATGGAGAAAAAACAACAACTGCATCTTCAACTAATCTAAACCAATTACTTGCACCAATTCATTAGAGAACAAACCGATAATAAGCAATAATACCATTCAATTCAGCACACGATACAACTGGAAATTTTGTACATTGTAGAACAGTCATTTCACAATAATAACAGCGCAATGAACAATCAAGCAACAGATACACCTCACCATGTCACTGGCATTGCAAGCATACAATCAATTCCGTAGCCATAAAAATAGTCTTCTTTGTTTTCATCTACAAAATGTACAATGATCTAGTTTTTTATCACATTATTATTATTATTATTTCACTTGACCCAATCTCAGCTAGTTTGTGCTTCAACGTTAGCAGTGTATTACAAAGTTAATGCTCAATTTTTTTCTACAAATCTTCTGAATATTTTACAAGGGGACGTTGAAATCACTACTGGTCCCACAACGCCAGTGCACATTATCTGTACAACGCTCCAAAGGATTTCTCTACAAGTCCATTTATACACAGCTGTAGTGGATCGGTTATTACTTTACAAAAAATCCACATGCATTTCACAATCCAGGCCTTCAATATTTAGTTACAAATGGATTACGGGTATCCGACATTAAATAGGTCGACTAAGACAGAGTACATAGGACTTAAGTATTGTAATGCTGTTCAGGATTTGGCATATCAAACCACTAAATCTCAAAGCAACACACCCAAAATTTCATCTAAGTCAAGCTAAAATATTCCTGCAACCTACATGCCCACGATAGAAAACTGAAACTCTTGTGCTATGCATACAATGATAGGCTACCTAGCTACATGCAACGTCACATTGCGCTCCATTAAAATGTGCTCAAGTTAAAACTATAACTTCAAAGTCAATATATTTATATACTGTTTAAATAGGAATATTTAAAAGGGAAACAAAGTCTTCAATGCTAATGTAATTAATATTGTGTTTCGGCAACACTTACATTGAGTCTACAAAAGCTCAGACACTAAACTAAAAAAGACATTATGACAACATCTCCGATACATATCCATACATTAGGATCAAAAGCTAAGATTAAAACACTAGATACATTCCTTATTGTGAAGCATACCATTCTTAAAACATTAAAAGTGGTTATTCCAACATGGGAATTCCCCAATCAAATACATTCTAAACCAAAGCCACACGAACCCAATCATGACTCATCCATCATCTAAAACCCTGCAGCAAAAGCTCACAGCCGGGTCAAAGACGGGTCAAAGGTCATGGAACTGCAGTTCTTTACTTCACGCCGATCAATGCTTGATATTATTAAGAATCAATTCAAACTTTTGAAACACATGCACACAGAGTTTAAAAAATCCAACACACATGCATTTTCCCAAACCACACGTATGGGAAAACTGCGAGGCAAACTCCCTCAACTGAAAATATGACGAAAAGGAAAAATTTGCAGGTAACTGCTTTTGAACAATTTGGATGCCTCTTGAATTTCATGGTGGATCGATCCGGTTTGTTTTTGTCAATGTCATGATCGGATGTTGTGCACTTCATCTAATCATACGTGGGATATATGGTTGTGGTATAAAAACATTGAAGTCATATACCCTGGTATTCCAACAACCTGTTCTCCTGGTATTTCCCTCTACTGTACAGTAAATGCACCTGTTCCCCATCGAGTCATAATTGATTGATTGGTGGTTTCACGGATGGCCAGGAGTACCTTGGCATAAACCAATAACCAAGACTACAGCTACAAATGCATAGCTTGCGTATCACCCGTTATGTCCTTGCTCGGCAATCATAGTGAGCGTTCATTTTCATTTAAACAGCGCCCCCAGTGTTGAAGGTCACTTTTTTGTTCACATGTGGAGTTGAGCGAATTTGTCTCGCAAGGCAACAAGTCAATCGCCTGTAAAGCCTTGGTACAAGTACTGGTAAGGGGGGTGGGTCTTGGTAGGGCTTAGCGGGAAGGTACTGTAGATGTTACCTGATGGTGATCGTAGGTAGACCGGCCTGTTGTACTGTGGGTGGTAATGGGCTGGGGGCGGGGCCATACCAGGATGGTAGGCGGTAGAGGCTGAAGGTGAATGCAACACAGCTGGGGGAGGCAGGTGAGTCGGTAGAGAAGATTTGTAATGAATATGAGCACCTTGAGGGGGTAGGGTGGTAGTTAAGGGAGAGTTAATGCCAGGTGTGGATCCATAGGAATAGATGTACTGGCCGTTAGATTGACCAGGTACCACAGTATGCGACTGACTGGTCTTGGGTTTATGGATAGGACTACTGTGCTGCTGATAATACGGGGGTAGTGTTACAGTGGGGGATGTATAGACTGGTACACCACGGTGGCGATCAGGTCTATCATGCTGTGACCTCTGAACTTGTGAGGTCACTGGGTCAGCCCTGGTTGACCGTTGGCTTCTTGACGACTGCTGTTGCGATGATATGGTCAAGGTACTTGGGCGCTGTCGGTGATGTGTTGGGTTTGGTTGTAACGCTGGTAGCGTGGTCACTGTGGTATCCTTACTGGAACTCTTTTGGGGTTGTGGTTTGGGGGCGGAGTCGACTTCAAGGGGTGGGAGATTGACAAATGCTATTGCCGAGTCCGAGCAGTGATGGGCGGGTCTCTCTTTCTTCAACGCCAAGACCAGATCTCGACCTTGAGACTTCCTCAGTGGATGCAGGATCTCCTCCTGCGTGTCGCTATGGACTTCTTCTTTGACTCTTTCCTGAAAACTTAAATGGCCACTTTGTGGTCTACTTACGATGACTTGGGAGTCTCTACGACGAGACTTCCTTGGCTCGTGACCTCGACTACTTCCCATGCCGTCGGCAGCTTCTCCACGATACGAGGTCTTGATGCTGTAGCTGCTCTCCACATTACCATTACTTGCCACTGGTGGACTACCGTCGGGTGTGTCTCGGATGGTGACGCAACTCACCACGTTCTGTCTCTGCAGCTTCTCTAGGTCAATCTTGAGAGGCGACACGCCCAGCGACGAGTCACAGGAAGAAGACGAGGAGGAGTAGGGATGCTGTTGCCGTGGTGACGGTGTAAGGATGCTGTTGGAGCTACTCAAGGAGCAAGAGTGTGTGATGGTGTTATCGTTGCATGCCTTGCACATCTTATCCTCACATCTATGATCAAATAAAGATATTATAAAGGGCCAATGATTAGCGGTGGGATTTAAGTCCCGATTGTTTTTTAATTCGGTTTGAATTCCACCATTTAAAGTATGGTAACATTTAGAATTGTGTAGTCTTTGTGATGTGTTACTATATTGCTAATGTTACGGTTGCTGTAGCTTTGATGAGCCCGATGAACAGTGAACACGGAGAAACAAAGACACACTGGTATGAGCTCAGCCGTATGGAAAGACTATCTTATTTTTAAGAACTCAATTCTACCGGGTCTTGTTTAAATACAGAAGTATAACCTAAGACCATACGGCTGAAACAGCTGATGGGTATGGCTGGGTACCAGAATACAGGATTAGGAGACAGAAGATCGCAGATGAAGACTGGCCAGGGCATAGGGCTGAATCAGCTTATGGCTTTGCCTCTGGTTTCCCAGGGAGAAGAAGGAGAACTCAATGAAAATGGGAAAATGTTTCCGAGGGCTAACTTTGGGTGAAAATAGGAGATGATGTCATATAAGGAAAACTTAATTTATATGACATCATTTCTGAGTAAAGGTAGACTGACCATGGACTGACGTAATGGTCAGTCTGGGGAGTACCCTTATGAGGTCACTTTCCCCTGTTCAAGGGTTAAATCACAGTCATGGTATGCTGTGGGTGTTTCGCTTGGAAAAGAGTGACGTGAAGACCTTGGAGTGTAATGTGGAACACCTGTTGCGAGAGTGGTAGTGTGGGTGATCAGGAAAAGTCTAAATTTCAGTCTTACAGTATCGTCACGAATTGACACATGTCCACATGACATAACTGTGTGTTTCTTTTGGCTGTTGAATTGAGAGGACTCACCCCTTGGCTGGTTTCTCCGTTTCTTCCTCACTATCACTGCTGATTGTGATCACGCTTGGGTTGGGACTCGGTGAGTCTGCTATCACAATGGGCTCCCGCTTGGTTGAATAGGAATCCTCTGCATTTGCACCGGTCAGCCTCTGGGTACTAGACTCTTGTTTAGTACTGCGGTTGTATCTTGTCGTTGGCTGGGTCGAGGCAGCTGGTTGGGTGGGGGGCGGGGGCTGGGTGATAGTTGAAGGCGGGGAGCTACCTCGGACACGTTTGGATTTCTGTGGTGATAAACTGCTGCTGAACGCCGCTGTATGTGTCCTGCAATACAACACAAATAGAGTTGATCATATGAATGGTGTATCATAGAAAGATAAACCTACAATCTTAACCATTCAACATGCCCATGCAATGTTAAACGTTGACTGCTATGCCATCTGCACAGTATAATAAATTAAGTTTCCACAGTATTTATTAAAATTAATCACATCAACTTTGACAACAGGCACAGATTATGCAACCAAAACTAAGAGAAAAGTTAATCTAGAATCTCTGTTGAGTTAAAAACATGCCTGGCGCCTGCACTTGGCGATTAGTTTGCGTACTTCATTCAAAATGACTTTTTCCTGGTCGTTCATTAATGGCTCTTTAACAAAGTCTGCCAGCGGCAGATTACAGCTTGAAATGTGTGGAGAATGACAAGGATCTCGTGATAGTTATCAGTGTTGCAATGAGTAGACCCATGTGTTGCAGTAATAGGTGAGTAATGGGCAGAGACTCCAGGGAAGGCACAGTAACGGGAATGTCTAGGACAGCAGCAGATTACGACCCTCAATACACACTCTGTATGACATCTGACTCATACACCATACGCTCAGCCCGAGCAGCTATATATAGCGACTACTAGTTACTACTAGCTGCACACTACAGGAAGTCTGTAATTCCTGACCTTTGACCTCCAAGTCAATTACAGATGTCCATGATTGGACTGGTTTTCAAGATGTAATAGAGTTGGTTGATCATTTCCTGACAAGCTGCATCTCAAATGAAGTCTTAATCAGTGGAGGTCATGCTTAGTTCTGATGGACTTACTTCTGTCCGCCCTGCTTCCTTGCTAGTCTGGTATGGGAGCTGCGTGCTGCTGCTTGGGGTAGATTGGAACTCCAAGACTGAGGCTGTTGCAATGCATGCTGGGGAGTCAGAGGCATGATGGGATGGTAGTGACTTCCATATTGTGAGCGCTGTCAAAATAACACAACATCATACCAATGCAATCAGAACTAATGCTTTGCCTCAACTTAGCTCATATGAGTGTACTGTGTGTGTTGGGTATTTAAGCTATGACAGCTGGAAGGCACATTGGAAGCTGTCAGGATTTCTAACATTATGACTCACCGACTATAGAATTAAATAATGCTGCTGATGTCGACTGCGTGGTTAAAGAGGTTGTGGAATGCTCGAAGACATTTCTGTCATTTTTTGGGTATATGTAGCCTAAGGTGTGATGAAATAAAAACGACTATTGTTTCTGTCATGAAATGAGTACAAAGGGTAATTTTTAGAGCTATTTTTCAGGTCCTGTTTCGACCCGAACGTGCAATTTGTGTAAAAGTCGTCGTTGCGGGCAGCAAACAAAACACAGTAAATTGTGACGTAATAAACAGGACTCGTTGATGCTACTCTGCATCGGGAGTCCTGTTTATTACGTCACGATTTACTGTGTTTTGTTTGCTGCCCACGACGACGACTTTTACACAAATTGCACGTTCGGGTCGAAACAGGCATGACAGGACTTGAAAAACAGCTCTCAAAAGTACCTTTTGTCCTCATTTTATGACAGAAACAATAGTCGTTTTTATTTCATCACACCTTAGGCTACATATACCCGAAAAATGACGGAAATGTCTTCGAGCATTCCACAACCTCTTTAATAATAATTTATACACATATTGCGCAAATTCCATCTGAATATGATCAAATGCGCATTATTATCCCTGTTCATCAGGAATGATGCCATTTTTCTGCAGCAGCTTGAGATCAGCGCAATTTGGTGTCTACCCTCACAGGTACCCATTTATACTCCTGGGTGGAGAGAGGCAAATGTAGTAAAGTGCCTTCCCCAAGAACACAAGCAGCATGTTCCCCGTCAGGGTTCAAATATATGTACCAAGGCACATGAGTCAAACACCATGACCATTGGACCACAGTGCCCCACAAATAAACACAAATTTTCTAAATATCACAATAACTCTAGCTTCTTTTTAGATATATGAATGCAAATTTCAAATCTCCATTAGGATTTTCTAATATGGATTCATCCCTTTTCGCGACTTTTTTGCTGATACAAACTTGTTTCTCAAAGGAGCCATACCCTTTCTACGTATCTACAATGTTGTTGGAAACAAATAAAAGACAATATGCAAGGCGTTCTGTCAAAATGACACGGACCTGGGCATGGGCCTTAGTGGAGAAAAATACAAAAAAGCAAATGGCGGTAATTTTTTTTTCTGATTTTCAGATTTATTGATATTTGTGGAATAAAGGTGTTTTTAAGAAGAAAAAAAATTGGCATCGTTCATTTTCACAAATATACAAAACTGGAAACTTTAAAGGCCTTTTTTCCGAGTATTTTATTTTGTTGACATGTTGATAAATACAAACTTTTAACAGCCATAACTTGTCAACAAACAGCCTGATTGAAGTGCAACAAACAGTGTTGTAAGGAGAATTGTATTCTCTTTCCTAATACCCGCAAACTCTCATTTCGACCTCAGCCCAGTTCTGTCTCATTTTACCAGAACGCCTCACGTACATGGACAAAATGTGCAAAATACATTGCGCAAGTATGAATTTAAAAAAAACAAAAGGAGTCAGGCAGGAAAAAGAAATCAGTCGGGGATGAGAAAACTTCTTTTTTTTTTCATTTGGCCAAATAAAATCATAAACGTATAACCATAAAATTTCTACCCCTGACCATAAAATGTCTAGCGCCGACCATGAATTTCAATGCTCACCTCAACTACATGATCATAAATTCCTTCCACATCCATATGAAACATAGCTGGGCTTTGCTCCGCAGAGATGAATGCAGGGTCGTCAGATGGTCGCCATGACATCGTTGCAGTGGGCACATACTGCCGTCTAGAAGAAACAAATAAAACCATGAACCTCAAAACCATGAACCTCAAAACCATGAACCTCACAACCGTGAACCTCAAAAGTATGAACCTCACAACCATGGACCTCAAAACCATGAACCTCACAACCATGGACCTCACAACCATGGACCTCACAACCATGAACCTCACAACCATGAAACTCAAAACCATGAACCTCACAACCATGAACCTCAAAAGTATGAACCTCACAACCATGAACCTCAAAAGTATGAAGCTCACAACCATGAACCTCAAAAGTATGAAGCTCATTTGTATTCAGGTGAAGAGAACGTGAGCAGAAAGTGACACATGGGATATATGATCAGTAACTGATCAGGCACAAATAACACTATGTGATGAATGTTGGTTTACAAAACAGGGTGAGTAAAAAAAAACGAAACCAAAATGTTGGGACCATTGTTTTAGTGAAGTTCCGCATGTAGCACTTTCAAAATCTAGGATATGAAAGCCCAATTCATAAGCTTTCTTTTAGTACAAGAATGATTTAAATCACTCATGTTTTTTTCAAGTTACGGAATTTTAAACACCACAAAAAGGCAAGTGTTCTGTCAGCAAAAAAAAAATCACACAATGAAGTGTGAGAATTGTGTTCGTTTTGCTGAAAGAACGCAGGCCTTTTTTGGGATCCGGGGACAGAACTTAAAATAAGGTGGCTGTGTTTAAAATTCCGTAACTTGAAAAGTACATGAGTGATTTGAATGATTCTTGTACTAAAAGAAAGCTTATGAATTGGGCTTTCATATCCTAGATTTTGAAAGTGCTACATGCAGAACTTCACTAGAACAAGAGTCCCGACATTTGTATTTCGCTTTTTTTTTTTACACACCCTGTACAGCGTTCATTTGGGTACAATGTGATCAACTCCAGCTAAGAGAAACGTGGGCCACCGCTGTTTCACATCAGCAGGTTAGTTTCCCTTTAACGTACAGGTTATGACAACATCAAAGGTGGCGGTAAAGTCAGGTAAAAAGGAAGGCACACATTTCCTTTCAACTTCCAACCTGATTCTAACCAGAGATTGAAAGACCATTTTCCAAACGTTTCCTCAATAATCAACAGCCATATGATTCTGATTTCAGATTTCGTGAAGTGATTGTGCAAGATTCATGTTGGTAGCAGTGTAAGGATTAACATTAAACAATGACCATTCCTTCAAGGAACGAGAGATTGGTCTGATACACTTAAGTGGAAATAATTAGTCGTGTCTGTGCGACAAGGTTGTATCTCCTAAAATGGCGTGTTACGTCATGTACGTGAAACGCGAGTTTTGAATGTCTAAAGGTCGTATCTGGCTTAAAATTACCCAGATGCACACACGAAGTCAATGGACGTCGCGATACGCGAGACCTTGTTGCATGGAGCGTATTCGTACGAGATACGACTTTGTTGCAGAATCGAGTTACAACCATATTGCACAGACACAACGAATTGCACGTGAAATTTGGAATAAAATCACTCTTTTGAAACACTTTCTGAAAAAAAGGAGAACAAGCAATATAGTTTTGAAATGGATGCACAATATCCTTGACATGTAAACGGCCAGTTGCCAGTGAGTAAGAATGGAAGTTTTTTTTCAGTACAGGAAAGCCCATGGGTGTTGATACAGGTCAGACATAGCCCAGCCGTGATCACAGCAAGAATGCCTAGGGTCTAGCAAAGAACTTCCTGTACACATAATGCTTAGACGCTAGCACAGCTGATATATCCATCACATCCAAATATACTGTCATATTTAGGTTCTGACTGCTGCAAAGCTAAAGACATCCGAGACCTTTGGGGACACCCTAAGGGTACCGACCTCCAAGTTTCTGCAAGAGGTTGTGTCTCCGGAATGACAGGCTGCTGTGCCACAGCTGCTGCCCCTTGTTGCCATGGTGACAGGAACATCTGACCATTAGGAGGCCAAGACTGGACTGGACCATTCTGCAAAAGCAAGACAAAAATGAGAGGGTGTTAGATGGGTTAAAGATGGGGTGTGTATAGGTACTAGTAGGGTGTGAGATGGGCTACAGACAAGGTATGAACAGAATACTAGGTTCACACAGGATGTGTACGGGGAACTTGTAGGGTGTGAGATGGGGTACAGACAGGGGGTGAATAGGGTACTGGGTTCACACTGGGTGCGTACGGGGGGTACTTGTAGGGTGTGAGATGGGGTACAGACAGGGGGTGAATATGGTACTAGTTGGGTGTGAGATGGGGTACAGACAGGGGATGAATAGGGTACTGGGTTCACACTGGGTGCGTACGGGGGGTACTTGTAGGGTGTGAGATGGGGTACAGACAGGGGGTGAATAGGGTACTAGTTGGGTGTGAGATGGGGTACAGACAGGGGATGAATAGGGTACTGGGTTCACACTGGGTGCATATGGGGGGTACTTGTAGGGTGTGAGATGGGGTACAGACAGGGGGTGAATAGGGTACTGGGTTCACACTGGGTGCGTACGGGGGGGGGGGGTACTTGTAGGGTGTGAGATGGGGTACAGACAGGGGTGAATAGGGTACTAGTTGGGTGTGAGATGGGGTACAGACAGGGGATGAATAGGGTACTGGGTTCACACTGGGTGCGTACGGGGGGTACTTGTAGGGTGTGAGATGGGGTACAGACAGGGGGTGAATAGGGTACTAGTTGGGTGTGAGATGGGGTACAGACAGGGGGTGAATAGGGTACTGGGTTCACATGGGGTGTGTATGGGGTACTTGTAGGGTGTGAGATGGGGTACTGGTAGGGTGCGTACAGGGTATTGTAGGGTGTGAGATGGAGTATGACAAGGTGTGTAAGGGGGAACTTTTAGGGTGTGAATGGGGCATTACACGGTGTGTAGGGGGTACTTGTGGGGTGTGAGGTACGGTATGGACAGGGTGTGAATACAGTACTGGTGGGGTGTGATATTGGGTTAAGAGATGGGTACCAGACCAGCTTTGAAGCACTGCATTACCCATTAACGTTATATTACATCCTGGAATGCACCCAATTGATCTACTGAATGCATTTTAAACGAAATTATGTTAATTTGAAAGAGCAGACACAAGTAGGATAAAAATGTCCACACAACCATCCTTTAAAAACAGAGCATTTTTGTGTTATTCTTGCAAGGACCATGCGAGAATGAATTTCGGGGGTCAAAATTTAGACTCTCAAAAATTGAGCTATTGAGTGCTAGTTGTGAATCCTGCCGCATAGTGCATCGCATTCTGCGGACGTGCAAGAAAACAACATTTGTGTATTGGTGCTGTGTGTGTTATGTGATACATACACACAGTGTGTATCGTACATTGAATAGACACGGCTGGAAATGCGTACTCATATGAAACAAAATGTTTGCCACGTCCGATGTAAACAACCAGGTTTTTTCGTCTTTTCTCGGGAACGGTAAGACATTAAGTTAGTTTCTATTCAACCAGACCTTTGAAACAATAATAATAATAATAACAGGTTCTTATATAGCGCTTTTAACTAAGATCAAAGCGCTTTACATTATTATTACCCCTAATCATTGGGCCAATTAAACATTCCATATACCATCTCAGCTCCCTGGGGAGTATACAGCTCGATGCTGCCTGTTAGGCGCAAGGAAGCTAATTCAATCACAATAACCATCACTGCCCTCACAGGTACCCATTTACTCCTGGGTGGAGAGAAGCAATGAGTGACAAAGTGCCTTGCCCAAGGGCACACGCACCATGACCCCGCCAGGACTCGAACCCATGACCTGCAGCTTTACCCACAGACCATGAATCAGTGCCCTTAACCACGAGGCCACAGCACTCCACAAATAAGATAAGTAAACAATCTAAAACATAACATTTTGGGGGATTTCAGGCCATAACGTCCCTATTACTTGGGTAAAGCCGTAGGATGTAGACGGATAGGGGGTGGGTATGGCGTATACCTAGGGTGTGAGAGGGATACAGATGTGATGGACTATACGGAAGCCATTCTTACCCTGAGGAGCACCGTCTGATTCTGGCCCACTCCCGCTGGTCCAGGCCAGCCTTGTTGCCCAGCGTTACCCATGGACAGAGGTAAAGCGATGGGTTGTAAGGAGTGGGTCGGTGCGCCGGCTTGGTGTGCTTGCCCTACGTGGGCCACCACTGAGCCATTGGGATGACCATTCAGTCCAGAGTTCTACCAATCAAAATACATACACACACAAAAGACATCACGTAATGATCACAAAGATGGCGCAGTTTGAACCAGAATTCCTCAAGGGCATCATTAAAGGGAAAATACAACATTTGCAAACATCAAAAAATACAACTACCAAATCATTTTGAAATACCTTGCTGGACTGTTAGTGAATGACAGTGTAAAGCATCCTGTAAAATCATGGCACCTGGTATACTGTCATTTTCAAGAAAAGTGGTATTTTTGTATCACTTTCCAATGCTGGTCGGCCGACCAGCGTTGGAAAAAAACTGTTTTTTTTTTTCAAATGCTGGCCCCAATTGACCATCGCACTTGCTGGCTATCGATTGCACACCTATGAACAGGTACAAGCCAGCTAGACTGGTTCTCTGACCTTACAATTCCCCAATGTATGTAAACTGTGCTGTTTCTTCTTTTATGGAGTCAGGGAACCAGACTACAGGAAAATGATTGTTTGTCTCGGTTTTTATAGCATTTTCGAACCCAAAACCTCAAAAAAGTCAGTGTAACTATATTTGCTATATATTTCCAACCCCCAATTCCATCCATTTCTGAAAATTACAGCAAAAGCAAATGATGTATATTCCCTTTAACCCTAATCCTCCAAATTCCTCCTCAATCCTCCCAAATCCTCCTGGCAGTTTTGGAGGATTTTGGAGGATTGAGGCTGAATGGCTAAACAAGTGTCAGTTGATTTTGTAGGATGCATTACATCAAGTTCATAGGCTGTATTCTGCGTTGTTTATGTTCAGCCATGCATAATTGAGCCCTGCATTATGCTCCATATCATCCGCACTGCTTCTGAATGTCATTGGCACTGCCTCAGCCCATTAACAGTGATTGCTGGAGGATTTTGAAGGATTGAGGCAACGGTTAACCCTCTACTGAACAAAATCCAGTAAGAATGGATGATTTTGGAGGACTGAGGCTGAATCCAATTTTTACATGGTGGCAATTGGAGGATTTTGTAGGATTGGGGATGGCTCCTAACAAAAAAGGGGTTTGGGATTAGTTTCAACTGATTTGTCTTTAAAACAGAGACTTTTCTTCTGCTTCTGTCCTGCAGTGATTCCAGATGCATTTAACTCTAACCCTTCAGGGTATTTTGGCTAGAAACCCTGCCAAACGCAGCAACATGCAACACTTGCCTAAGTGACAAGCCTGCCCAGTGTAGCAAGATCCATCAGGCCAAAAGTCTCAAGGACAAACTGCCTCAGAGTCGGTGGTCACTGAATACAGCAGGATACAACTGTGGCATTGTTCAATGGGACTAGCTCTCATTGTCTCAGAAGCGGCCTTCATGCACTGGTGTTGGTAGCTGAATGCATCAAAGTGCACCAGACTTTTGCACCTGATGCACTGTGTTGTGTCTGGCAGGGTTAGAGTTAACCCCTTAAGGACGGGAAGCGGTCATGGCCGCGGCCACTAATCCTCATTGGAATGCAGTTGCCAGCTGTGGTATGCCGTGGCACACAGCTAGTGGGTAGTTCCACAGCTGCTGCTTTTGTGCAGTCCCGCTACCACACAAAGGCTGTGCAGTCATGCGGGCCACTTGCTCTATGTGTGGAGGAATGTCCCCATTACACCCGTCCTTAAGGGGTTAATGATCACTCTGTTCATATGATTGGTTTAACAGTATCTCAAACACACATTTCTTTGTCATGCGTACATGGATATCCCGTTTCGGTTATCCATCTTCCTTTTCTGAGAATTGAGAATTCTGTATTTCATCATAAGGTTAAGCTATCAAAAGCATGTTTCTCTGAAATCAAAAACATAACCACAAACATGATAACATCCGTTATTTTTGCAGTCGACTAAGCGACCATTGTAGGTGGTCGAACTTCAAACTTGGCACAAACTTTGACATAAGTGTGCGTTGTTTGCACGAGCAGTTCTCAAAAACTCTGCAAGTATGCAACCTATACCAGTGGCAAAGCAATTTGCTTTTCCCGAACATGCACATTTTAGACAGGCACTGCACTGGTGGTAACAATTGTTGATTGGCATTAGTGAATTCATGCAGTTATTTCTATTCTGACTATGATTGTCTCACCTGTGTAAAGACTTGATGTTGTATTGTGAGTGACTGGTGTTGCGGTGCTTGTGTTACTATGGGAACACTGTTTTCAACTCTCAGGGGGTACATCTGCAGCGACTATAAAGTTAAACCAAAAAAAATGTCCACATCTTTACTTGAAATGAGGCAATGAATTCAAGCAACCATGAGACGAATTTGTCTTGGGAATATATTTTGTGCAACTTTCTATTCCTTTTAAATGTATGATCACTATTTGACATCCCTTTTTCTTTTATTTTATTGAAAACTACCCTTCTTTAAACATGTCCAACCTTTTCCTGACAGCTTATGGCACTGTTGCTGTGATGTCATTTCAGGAAGACATTGTTTAGTATCTGTGTTTTCGGTTCAAAATGTGACCCAAACATTTGCTCACTGAAAACTTGTGTGAGAAAAGTTTGTTCGTTGCCTTTAATGTCTTTTCCACTGAAACAACAAATCACCAAAGAAAAGAAACTTTACCACCGCAAAATAACAAAAATTTGGGCAACTGTTGGCGCTGAAATAGCTAATAACACTGAGGTTTATGCCTGAAATGACACACTTTTGCTTGCGAATATGTAAATTTTCATTAGTATAAAAAATAGAAAGGCACCAAAATACCCTTGAAAATGGCAAAATAAAAATTGAAAACAAGGTTAATTGGGACACAAAGGGTGCACTTTCAAGGATTGCATTAGCAAATGACATTGCATGGGCCCTTTAATAATGAGTAGGCAATTTGACGTCTACTCTGCTAACTATTGCATGCATGCTAACTATTAATCAGAAGCCGGACGTGGTATTTTTATCCTGTACAAGTACAAAGTTTAGTACTTCAACAAATGTTTCTATTTTTAGTTACTTTAATTCCAAGTACACTCATAATAATCCAGGAAAATGAACACACATGTAGTGAAGCTGACCTTTTGAGGAAATTTGGGTGTATAATATGCAATGCACGATAATCTGTGAGGTAGCAAAATGAGACTGAACTGGGCATAGTCCGTAGTAAAAAAATGCAAAAACTGAATTAGGGTATTTGTTTTTTTTATATTCACATTTATTGATATTTGTAGTCTTTGATATGTCTACTGCGCATGTTTTAAAGAAATGACATCAAAATTGTGGAATACAAATGTTTTGAAAGAAAAACATCTTGCATCTTTAATTTTCACAACTACAAAACTCGAAACTTTTAAGGCATTTTTCTCAGCATTTTTCTTTTTGACATGTCAAAATATTCAAACTTAATTGAACAGCCATAACTTGTCAATGGAATGCTCGATTGAAATGCAACTAACAGTATCACAAAGAGAATTTTGTTCTCTTTTCTAATACCTGCAAACCCTCATTTCGACCTCTGCCCAGTTCTGTCTCATTTTGCCAAAACGCCACATTTATGACAATGTTATTATCTCCTGGCATGATGCTGACATTTATTCCTGTCGTCATAAACAGGTTGCAAATAAAAACAGTCAAAAAATCAAAACATGCATAGTTTTTACATTGGTTAAGTCAAGAATATCAATATTTCTGTGTATAGATATAGTAACAGATGCATGCTTGCCGTTTTTGTAAAAAGCTTTAATTGTATTTATGGGCTAATCAGAATAGTAAGGTTGGGAGGGGGACAGTAGTCTTTAGTAAAGACTCTTGTTGGATGCGACACTAAGGATCTAGAAACAGGAAGACGATGAGGCAACTAACATCAAAATGGCCCAACACCTGCAACACCAAAACATCAAACTGACAGCTCAAAGTGCAGGATACCCCCCATTTAGGAAATGGATAATCCCTAGGTAACGGGCCAAGTGTGGCATTTGAAGGCAGGGCCTGATTAACTTGGACTTGTTATGGGGGTGTTTGTTTTAAAGGATTTGGGTGCTGTAGACTGAACGGATGTGGGTAAGAGCCTTGAAGCAGATGACGGCCTGGGCATGTTGAGTCACAAGTGGTTGGATTGTGGTTTATCCTGACCAACAGGATGACTACACAACGGTGCAGTGAAGCACTACATGTTTGCAACTGTATGCTACAAAGTATATTTCTAAGGGCATTAGCATGCGAGAGTTTCTGCTTGAAATCAAGAACCAGTATGCCAGTGTATCAGTACTCAAAATGAAACAACATGAACCAAGGGAACGAGAAAACTAAGGGAACGTCTCAAAAGTTGGAACGCTTGGAATGTTCCATTGGGATCATCGCTTGTTCCAATTGGGCACATGCGTTGTTCCGCATGGAAACAGCCCGGGAACACCAGGTGATCGGGCCTGCGAACGTTGGTCTGTGCGCATTCACGCTTACTCCATACGGAACGGGAACGTTCCCACTTTTGAGACGTACCCTAAAAGAATAGTGTCTGGTATCAAAATAAAGAAACTGATAACTACATTTTGCAACACAAAAGAATTCCCAATGACAAAAATCTAGCAACCGTTATCGAGGGTTAACTGAAAACGGACATGCGTTTGTGCACACAAATGTAACAAATGAATAAGTTCCTGATCTTAATGACAGTGGCTGAGCTAATCTACAGAAACATGCAGGGCCCAATTTCATAGCGCTGCTTAACAGCCGACTTTGTGCTTACCGGGCCCCCAATCTATTTCATAGGGACCGTTAAGCAGTAAGCACAGCAAAAGTATGCTTAACCCCAGAAGAAAACTTCGCTTAACTCAGTGACGTAACAATAGAATCTCCATGCGCGCGCAACCGTTAGCATGAAATAGTGCTTAAGCAGCAGCATGATTTTTATGCTATAGTAAGCACAACTTTTCTGCTTACTGGTAAGCAGCGCTACGAAATTGGGCCCGGGTGGCCTGAATGCCTCCGGTGTTTGACTGACCTGTTGGAATGGGTCCGGTCTGGGATACTGACTCCCCGCTGGTTGCTGCTGCACGTTCTGTGAGACTCGCTGAGCTATCTGCGGAGGCTGATAGGGAATATAGGGACCAGACTGAAGATGGTACTGAAGGAATGGAAACTCATTACCCTGGGGTCGTACAGAGGTGGTGATTGTCTGTGAGGTACCCTAGTAAGGGAAGGGGGGAAAGGGCAATTAACAGGTGTGCAATTGTAATATCAAGGTACAATCCAGAAAGACCGTGTGACAAAATAATAGAGACGCATACAGAAAATAAATGAAATGAGATAGAAGAGGTATCGAGGCAGGTGATTGCATGTCACGTCAGGGTACAGATCCAGAAAAATGGTGTGACAAAAATAAGGTGAAACAAAACATTGAATGAAATGGAACTGGTATGGCATGGATGCAGGTAAGCATGGTATCTGGGCCATGTATTGTCTGTAGACAAAACTGTAGAGGGGCTCAATCATAGCACATTACAAGCATGGGTATGAAGTACAGTATGTGACCTGTACTGTCAAAAGCAGACGCTTCTGGGCAGAGGTTGAAATGAAGTTAATGCCAAAAAACGCTGTGGGGGTGTTTTTTTCGATTTTCAAATTTTTGCATATTTGTAATCCTGAACATGTCTAAAATAAACTATTAACGTTTGAACCCCTAATTTGAGCTCTAAATATAGTATTTTTGATGATTTGTTAAGGTGTATCAGTTCAAGATATTACTGTTTTGTGACGTTCGTGGCCATTTTCTCAGTTTTCTACTTTTCAACACAATAAACTTCAAAATAGCATAACTCTGCCCAGGAATGACTGGTTTCAAAAATTACATCACCTATTAAAAGGAAAAAGAACATATTTTATAACAATATGCAAAAATCTCATTTTTGATCTTATGCCCAGAAGAGTCTGATTTTGACAGAACAGGTCACATTATCTGCAGTGGTATTGACAAAATTATCATTTTTAACACAAGGTTAAGATTTAAGCAATGCCTTGCAATTGTTTTGAACTTTGCAGACATGGCATAAACCATGTTTCAAATCATCCTCACGATGCAAGTGTGAAGTTAAAATTGACGGTCAAAAGTGCACTTAAATAAAGTATGCTGTGTGTGTGGAGTACCCATAGAGCTATATTAAATTATTAGAGCGTCAACTCGCTGTGCAAATGAAGCTTGCTGGGCGCATCCATGTTTGTGCACAAACCTATGGAAAACTGGAAATTTAGTACGGCTTTTGTACGGCTATATTGCATGTCTGCGTTTGTGTTCTTTAAAGGTGCGTTATTAAAGCCGATACACCCAAAACCGAAACACACAATTACTAAATGAGCGTTTCATTTTGCTCTGCGCAAACTTGCACAAACGCAAATGCATAGGCACTACAGATGTTTTTTGCCGTGACATTTTTTTAACTGTCATACTCAGAGAAAACACGCTTACGTTGTTCGCGTATGTTGTACTTGCGCGTTGCATTTAGAGTACATTATCCGAAATCCATTCCGTGTGATTTTATTATGTTCCACAAACACGCACATGAATTCAAAATGTCTGCGCCAGGACAGCTTAAAAAGTACAGTAAACTCCGGCTAAGTCGGCTCTCTCGGGACCAGAAAATTTGTGACGACTTACGCGAATGCCGACATCTGCTGTAACTCGTCATTTTGCCGACTTACATGAATGGCCTTTTGCACACATGATTTAAAAATGACAGAAATGTAGAGGGGCTCAATCATAGCACATTACAAGCATGGGTATGACGAACATAATTGTGACCTGTACTGTCAAAAGCAGACTTTTCTGGGCATAAGGTCGAAAATGATACTTTTACATATTGTTAAAATATGTACATTTTCCTTTTAATAGGTGGTTGAATTTTTGAAACCGGTCATTCCTGGGCAGAGTTATGCTATTTTGAAGTTCATTGTGTCGAAAAGTAGAAAATGGAGAAAATGGCCACGAACGTCACAAAACAGTTATTTCTTTAACTGATATACCTTATCAAAATCATCAAAAATAGTACATGTAGAGTTCAAATTAGGGTTTCAAACTTTTATAATATATTTTCGACATGTTCAGGATTACAAATATGCAAACATTTGAAAATCGATAAAAATCACCCCCCCCCCCCCAACAGCGTTTTTGGGCCCTATCTCAATTTCAACCTCTGCCCAGAAGCGTCTGCTTTTGACAGAACAGGTCACATATCTGCAGTGGTATTGACAAAATTATCATTTTTAACACAAGGTTAAGATTTCAGCAATGCATTGCAATCGTGTTGAACTTTGCAGACATGCCATAAACCATGTTTCAAATCATCCTCATGATGCAAGTGTGAAGTTAAGATTTACGGTCAAAAGTGCACTTAAATAAAGTATGCTGTGTGTGTGGAGTACCCATAGAGCTATATTAAATTATTAGAGTGTCAACTCGCTGGGCAAATGAAGCTTGCTGGGCGCATCCATGTTTGTGCACAAACCTATGGAGAACTGGAAATTTAGTGCAGCTTTTGTACACCTATTTGCACGTCTGCATTGGTATTCTATAAAGGTGCGTTATCGAAGCCGATACAACCAAAACCGAAACGCACACTTAAAAAATGAGCATTTCATGCGCAAACTTGCACAAACGCAAATGCATAGGCACTGCAGATGATTTTTGCCGTGACGTTTTTTAACCGCCCTACTCACAGAAAACATGCTAACGTTGTTCGCGCATGTTGTACTTGCGCGTTGCATTTAGAGTACATTATCCGAAATCCATTCCTTGTGATTTTATTTTGTTCCACAAACACGCACATGAATTCAAAATGTCTGCGCCCAGGACAGCTTAAAAGGTATCTCCGCGTGGGGAATGAGAGCTAGCGCTCTAGCAATGTAAAATAGCTCTATGGGGATACCTCTCCAACCCAAGAACAAGTAACTGTAAGTGACGACTTTCTACCATTGCACACAACCCATTCAAATCATGCAGTACAGGTATGTGAGCTCCAGACTAAGGAGACAGGGAACCAGACAGTGATTTCTACCTGATTCTGTAGTGCTGCATTTAGTTGATTGTTGAAGGCAATATTCAGGTTTCCCGTGGTTGACGTGACCGGCATCACACCTGCAAAGCTTGCTGGGATAGCTGCAGAGTTCGCGTCGTAGATCTGTCCCGGCCGCTTACATACCTCCATGCTTCGTACACTTGACTTCACACTAACAAAATAACAGGTTCATATGACATTATTTAAACTGTTCGATTTAAACCTCCTTTTTTAACCCTAGCCTTCCCAAATCCTAAAAAAATATCCTCCTTGCATATGTGCAGGATTTCCAAGGATTGAGACTTTATGGTTTAACGTGTTGCCGATTTCGGAGAATGCACTGTGTCAAGGTCTTAGGCCAGACCTTGTGTTGTTTATGCTTAGCCGTGCATAAATTTAGGCCTAGATTATCCTTGAAATCCCCCGCACTGCTCCAGGATGTCACTGACACTGCCTCAACATATTGACAGCGATTGCTGGAGGATTTCGCAGGATTGTAAAACAATCTAATCTTCAGTGCCTACCTAGGCAAAAAACCAAAGCGTATTTTAATCAATTTACAGCTGTACTCTCCCCCCCCCCCCAAAAAAAATTGCCTTGACATTAGCAAAATGTCTTCAATAGCTCGAGTACATTTACACAAAGGTTTTTACAGCTTTTTGATAACTTGACAATTCTTTGAGTAGCAATTAATCCACTTACTTTCTACAATGACCGTACTCGGCCAGGTGCGCCAATGTCACAAATGCATGGTTGATGGCCTCCAAGGGTGTCACTCTCTTGTCTGGGTCAATCGTCAACATCTTCTTCAATAAATCCACAAACTCTCTCCTGATTCAAAGGAAAAAGAAAAAGCATAATTGTAAACAAACTGAAACCATTATGAGATCTCTTCCTCAATGCTTGCATATTGCTGAAACAGAAGTTAATTCATTATCTCTACATTACTTTCAATTTCTAATTTACAAGGTGATAACTTGCTCTTCACTAAAATAAGAATTTTCTTTCTCAAAAATCATCATTTGTTTCAAGGGACATTTTGTCCTGGAATGCACCAAATTAGGCTACGCATTTTTAAACGAAATGATGTTAATTGGAAAGTGCATTCAACAGTAGGATTATAAACGTTTTTGTGTTATTCTTGCGAGAATGAATTTCGGGAGTCACAATTTTGACTCGCAAAAATCGAGCCGTCGGATACTAGTCGTGAATCCTGGTGTACACGTTCCATCAGTGCATCGCATTCTGCGGACGTGCGAGAAACAACATCTGTGTATTGGTGCTGTGGGTATTATGTGTCACACACACAACATGTTCCGTACATTGAATAGGCACGGCTGGATATACGTATGCGTATGCCACAAAATGTCCGCCATGTCCGATGTAAACAACCAGTTTTTTTTTCTCGTCTTTTTTTTGCAAACGGTAAGGCGTTAGGTTCGTTTCCTTTCAATCAGACCTTTGTAAGCTCGGAAGTTAATAATCCTTTGAACCTTTGAAAGTACACAATCCAACAAAAACAATTCTCGGGGATTTCAGGCAGAAAACGCCCCTTCACTAGAAATCCAATCATTGATGACATTATCAATAACCAGAGCATATTAGTCGTCTAGGATCAAGCAACTTGAAACCATTTCATTATCTTTTTTTTTTTTTTTTTTTTTGCGGTATTATTTTTTTTTGCAGTATTCAAGTGAAATTCAACCTAGCACGTCTGCCTTTTTGTTGGCAAATTGAATGATCTGTCTATGGTTACACGTAGAGTAAATCATCTAAAAGTAATGTCTCATGAATGACTCCTGAATGTTGCCCGCACCTGTCCGCTTTCTCGGCCAGCATCTCTGTTCCTTCCAGGTCCGTGGGGAAATTGACTCCAGCGATGTCATCCAAGCAGTTGAAGATGTACTTCCTGGCTTCTTTAGCTTTGATTCCTGTCTCGTTCTCATGCTCGTTGGTTTTCTGATGGTGAAAAAAAAAAAAGAAGTTCCAGTTACATTTCACACATGCATTTGTATGGGGGGGGGGAGGTGAATATGTATCAAGACTGTACAAAACAGAGACAATATACATGTAGAAAACCATTTACAGGGGTGAGATTAAAGGGACACTAGGTCCTGGAACAGCCCAATTGGGCTACAAAACGCGCTTTAAACGAGATGATGATAATCGGAAATAACATTTAAAAGTAGGATATAAACATCCACACAACTATCCTTTCAAAACTGAGCATTTTTGTGTTATTCCTGTATTATGCGTGCGAGAACGAATTTCGGGGTCCACTTTTGCGACCCCATAAATTCGAGCTGTTTGGATGCTAGTTGTGATTTCATTCGTACGCGTAAAGTGTTCGCCTTTTGCGGACGTTGAAGAAACCACAATTTTTCGCATTGGTGATTGGTCACCGTGCGCTGTTCCCGAGACACACAACGTGTATAGCGTACATGAGAACGACACGAAAAACGTATTCGTACTCCGTCATGTCCGATGTAAACAAGCGGGTTTTTTTTCGTCTTTTCTCGGGAACGGTAAGACATTAGGTTGGTTTTCTTTCAACCAGATGTTTGAAATAGGCTAAGTAAACAATCCAAAACATAACATTTTCGGGGATTTCAGGACCTAGTGCCCCTTTAAGGAAAAGTAAAAATCCACAAAATGATTTATGGTCTTTAACTTTTAAATGAGACAATCGATATATCAAATATTCTTGATATTGGATTTTCAATATATCGATTGTTGAAAATTCTGACATTGACAGTGCTTATGGTATATGTTTGTTTTTTCTTAAAGGGAATGTACATCATTGGCTTTTGCTGTAATTTTCAGAAATGAACTATTTGAGGGGTTAGTATAATAGATCAAATATTGCTACACTGACATGTTTGAAGTTTTGTGTTTGAAAATGCTGGAAAAACCAAGAAAAACAAAAATGTTCAAGTAGTCTGGTTCCTTGACTCCACTTAAGATAAAATGGATCAATTTATAGATGCCGGAAATTGTAAGGCAAGGGAACCAGTCTAGCTGGCCTGCACCCGTTCATGAACATGTAACCAATAGCAAACAAAATTTGGACTGAAAAAAAGTGTAAAGTTGCAAATGTTGTATATATATTCCCTTTAAGCACCCTTTGGAATACCCATTTCTTCTACATGTATATAAACCTTTATACATGTAGGATAAAACACGTTCTAAAATGGTATCACCTCAGGAAATCAAGATTGTAAAAGGGATTCTTGGAAAATCCTGAAACCGGGAAGAATCCTGACCAAAACAAATCCTGACGAAAATTCCTGAAATCAGGGAAAATCCTGACCCAAAAAAATCCTGACAAAAAATCCTGCAATCTGTTAATATCCTGACAAAAATTCTGAAATCAGACAAAATTCTGACAAATATCACCCCTGCATTTAGGACAGTTTGCTAAGTTTAGTTTCTTGATTTGTTTAATGTGCAGGGTTGATTTTAGATCTTGTAATAAACTATTGATGATGATCGAGAGATTTTGTTAAAAGTAATTTACAAGGACAGATTATTGTCCGACTATTTGTCTCTCCACACTGTGTAGTTTCCCACAGGTCAATGCATGGGTATCGCCTGATCCTAGACGCTATGTTCCTACATGGCTGCAATGATCAGCTCTGACACCTCCAGATTACTTCAAATTGTGTCAAGCTATGAGCTGTATCCTGACCCTATCTTATCTTGTACGGACACACAGGCGACACAGAAACTAAGCTAATAGATGCCTTGTCAACAACTTATTGCATTGGAAAAAAGTTGTTAGACCGTGTAATGAGAGTAGTCTCCAAGTCTAAAAGGAATATCATTTCGCATTCGTGATATTTTCCAGATATTGACCGTACAGGTGGGTTTTTTTTTTGTTTTTTTGGTTTTGTCTTTCAAATGGATCAAGGAAGTTCCGTTCACAAGTTGCTTTGTATTTTTCTCACAATAAATGACAGGCAACGTATAACAAACGCTTTGTTGGCACCTTGTTCAAACAATGGTTTGTGAATTGTCAAAACAGACTGCATCCTGCCCAGGAGAGGTAGGTGACCAACTGTAACATGGACGTGTCCTTTTCTACATGTTTACTTCCTCAACGATCAACCTCTCACAAAGGGGTCGAGGATCACAGCTTTTAAAGGACCGTCAAATTCAGGTTTGTTGTTGTAAATAGTGTTTTCTTTGACCTGAGTTTCCAATATACCGTAAGCTCTTAATCCATGCAATCTTTTTTATCTTCCACATCATTGGGCTTTTCCTAATTAAATCGGACGATGGGAAATATGATGATGGTGACGGTCCATGATGTGATTGGACGTGACACATCAATCAATCTCAAACTAAGCCTCATTGGCTCTAACAGAGTCTTCCTATCAGGCTATGAATATTCATGGTCTGAATAGTCCATTAGACTTAAGTTCCAAGAGGATCTAGCCTCTTGTTAACCCTGACCCCTAGTAGTTCTACAGGACTACCCTGCTAAATCTAATGGAGGTGACGGTTACTCATGAGTTTCCTGCTCAATCCAACACAGCCCCACACAACCCAACTTGCCAAGTTGTTGGGTACCTGAACATATAAAATGACTGGCATGCTCAATCCAACAGAATCCAACTGTGCCTTAACAGCCGACTTTGTGCTTACCGAGCCTCCATCTATTTCATAGGGACCGTTAAGCAGTAAGCACAGCAAAAGCACGCTTAACCCCAGAAGAAAACTTTGCTTAAATCAGTGACGTAACAACAGAAATCTCCATGCGCGCGCAACCGTTAGCATGAAATAGTGCTTAAGCAGCAGCATGATTTTCTGCTATAGTACATGTAAGCACAACTTTTCTGCTTACTGTTAAGCAGCACTATGAAATTGGGCCTTGGCTCCAACAAAGTCCAACTTGGTGTTATTTACCAGTACCCAACAGAATCTGACTCTGAATGCTTTCAGTTGCCTGCTGAATCCAACAGATTTTAACAGGAATAATATACAAGGGGTTTACTGCTTAATCCAACAGTACCCAACGGATACGTAGACTACCGTAGTTGGATCCTGTTGGATTAATAAGCAGGGTTAGGGTTAAAAATGAAAAGGGGGCTTGATTCTTATTTGGCCCCCCCCCCCAAAAAAAAAGTCTCCGGTTTCTGGTATGGAGCTTGCCCAAAAAGTGGTGCGGCGACGCGGCTTTTTTTTTTTTTTACCTGAATTTTTTGCTTCAAATGTCAGCTGATGACTGCAAATGGTGCCCGACTAAACTTAGTGCAAATATATGGAGTCCAGAGAGGCCACATAAAGCTTATTCTCGACCATAACCCAATCTAAAAACACGTTAAATTGTGCAGCAGCAGGATTCCAGTCAAACCAGTGAGTTTGGCGGTTTTGAGACATCATCTTTCATCAAAAAAAACCTTTTTCATTTTGCTGACGCGCATGGCTACGGCGACGCGCGCGCATACCAGAAACCGGAGACTTTTTTGGGGGGGGGGGGGGAGGCCTTTGGGGAACTGTGTACATTTGTCCCACAGTTGTTACGAGTCGATACAAATTGTTGAAAAAAACTCATGTTTGCTACAATCCGATATTATCAATTTGTGTGAGTATTATCAATGTGAGTGACCCTTTAATTCTAAGTCTGCCATGTACAGAGGTGGTGATTGCAGCTATATTTATGGTCACATGTGACTACGTGGTCACATCTCAGTGATGTGCACATATCCCTTTAACCAGTGTGAGTGTCCCTTTAACCAAGCCAGCCTTGTCCCAGCAGTATTCCTGCATGACTCATACAGCACAGGATGGATGTGGCAGGTTATAAATGGATCGTATGATCCAAGCAGTAGTAGCAGCACTGGCCAAAAAAACTTCATCATCAAGTATTCCAAGTTTGCTTCACTTTGGAACAAGTAAAAGTTGCTTGAATCTGACAGTGTTCCTTCACTACATGTTTCGTAAATGATCGGTACTACAAGAAAATGTGCTCTACATGTAGTACAAATCTGAAAACAGCAATAGTTTGAGTCTGTCTTCAGGTCTAAAAAATGTTAAATACCCCCTTAAAACGTAACTGCCGTGTAACCACACAAAGTTAGGGCTTCAAGTGAAAGGTGAAAGTCAACATCACGTCATAACATGGTTTATCACTTGATATTCGACTAAATTTAGAAAACATGGGATTTTTGGTACCAACTGTCAGACAGAAACCACAAAAGACACTTCAGTTGTGAATTATTTTAACTTAACCCTAACCCCCTAGGCCCTTGTTGCTTACAACCATCCTCAATCCTCCTCAATCCTCCAAAATTTTGCAACTCCGCCTAAATTTTTCAAAATTGTCAGACAGTCCTGCCTCAAAATGCATCCATCCTCAATCCTCCAAAATCCTCCTCATCCCAAAACTTTGCACTCGTGTTTAACGAAGGATAACCAACGCCAAATCCTTCAAAATCATCAGACAGTCCTGCCTCAAAATGCATTCCTCCTCAATCCTCCAAAATCCTCTTGTGCTTCAATCACCATTCATCCTCAATCCTCCAAAATCCTCATGTGCTCCAATCACCATTCATCCTCAATCCTCCAGAATCCTCATTTGATTCAATCACCATTCATCCTCAATCCTCCAGAATCCTCATTTGATTCAATCACCATTCATCCTCAATCCTCTAGAATCGTTCAAAACCGCCAGGAGGATTTTCGAGGAGTGAGGTGGGTTATCACAAGCAATATTTACCTTCAATCTCCAGAGAGGAAAGTTGGTGTCCTGGTCCCTCTTGAAGAATCTGGAGGTTTTGGTAGCAGCACTCAGGAGATTCTCGGCTGGCGTGCCTTGTGTCTGGGAGATATAGCGTATCTGTTGAAAAAAAAAAAAATGTGATGAGAACGCCAGAATCAGCACTGGTTTGATACAAATAATATGGTTAGCCTAGCTGACTAATGAGTCTGTCATGTGTGCATGCTCCAATATTCCATCACACATTGCAATTTACCCCATTGACTTCATTATAGGCATACAGCGTCAAGTTGCTTCAAGTTCCATCGCCTCTGTCATCACAAGAATAGTTGCTGTCATGATGACTTTGAAGATAGATTTTGGGTCATCAAAAATAGGCGCGAGATTTTGTGGGAATGATAATTCTTTTCAGAATATTCTGATCAGGTCGCAGGCTTGGGGCGGCAACTGACAGAAATTAACTTGATTAGGATATTTGCTGGAAACTGGTGTAAACAAATCCATTAGCATCTGATTCTATAAACTCTCCAGATTAGACCCCAACAATGGCACATCTAGTGTGTAATCTGCGCTGACCTGGGAGGATGGAAGCCGGGAAAAGGAAGTAATTTTCTAACAACCTGTCTCGGTCTAAGAAAAAACAAAACGCCTGCCCAGCGACTGAAAATGGGCTCTAACTGAAAACTTCCCCTCGTAGGCTTGGGCAGATTAGTAGACCTTGGATCTAGCAGCCCAGAATAACTCCTATCCACCTGTGCATACATGTACCTTCAATCAAACCTTCACTTCTTCATACTTCTTACCGTTGAACTTCTACACGATGCATTAGTTTCATCCTTTACGATGTATAGTTTGACTTTGGGGGCTAAAATTTGGAGTTGTTCAAGTTCTTGGATTAGATACATTATGTTTATTATGAAGGTTTCTGGTTTATGTTACTGTAGGTAAATAAATGTTAATACTCTTCCCAACCATGTACAAATGGCACGTCAATTGATAACGTGTACATGACATGTAAAACCTTCAATACAAGTGGCATTTGAACAATTACAACGAGTATAAATACACAGATGCATCTAAGGTTCCATTGCACCAAATACGCGCTCATAGAAAACAACACAAAATCGGACAAAGACAGCGCCACCTGGTGACGCTCAGGAGCAAGGTGGCGAGGGTTTTTTTCGCTGGAAATTAAAGATTGCGACCCCCTGAACATTTGTCTTTTCAATTTTATTAGTGGTAACCAGGTCAATTTTTTTTTAATATTCCCCTCCCCCAAAACCACCCCTAAAAAGGTTGTTAATCCCTGGGCCCAGGTCTAAGAGTAGCCCCCCGCCTCTATGCGAAAATGACCCACAAGTCCGGCTTTTTTCGAATAACCTCGCCCGAGTTGGAAGCCACAAGTCACAAATACTTGATTGACATAAATAGTTCTACAATCTATTCCAATTATAAGCCGCAAGGTCCTCTTATTCAAAAGAAACTGTGGGGTCACAAAATATTAATGAGCTCGCGCGCGCTAATTTTAAGGTTTATGGTGGCGTGCACCCCTAAACCTAATCTAGGGCATTTCTGTGCCCTTAGCCTTATCACATGTATCCAATCAAGCAAATAGTGCGATGAGATATACAGACGACCTTTAACCAGGATAAGAATGACAATGGTCCATCATATCAACACTCAGAGACAATACATGTAGCTAATTCTGTAGAAGAAGTATTTATATACCACTTTGACAGGTATAATGGTTCACTATTCCATCCACAAGAAAGCTCTAAATGAAACCAAAAAAAACCCACAAGTTTCAAAACCACTGCGCCAATGGTTGCACACTAAGTTTAGATAAATACACATTGGTTTCGGTAAACACATGTAGCATATGCTTAGTAGTTTGAACAGATAAGAATTGTCAATACAAGTAGTATTCTTCTCTGATACTTGCTGGTTGCCTCTGTTGTCGGATATGTACATGTAAATCTCTGACATTTAATTGACGTTTCTACTGGTACCATCAATCAGGGATAAAAATGAGATCACATCACCTGATACAAGTGTCTACATAGAGTGCAACAGGATGCATTTAAAGGGAATATACATCATTTGCTTTTGCTGTAATTTTCAGAAATGGATGGAATTGGGGGGTTGGAAATATATAGCAAATATAGTTACACTGACTTTTTTGAGGTTTTGGGTTCGAAAATGCTATAAAAACCAAGAAATACAATCATTTTCCTGTAGTCTGGTTCCCTGACTCCATATAAGAAGAAACAGAGCAGTTTACATACATTGGGGAATTGTAAGGTCAGGGAACCAGTCTAGCTGGCTTGTACCCGTTCATAGGTGTGTAATCGATTGCAAACAAGTGCGATGGTCAATTGGGGCCAGTATTTGAAAAAAGCCAGTTTTTTCAAACGCTGGTCGGCCGACCAGTGTTGAAAATTGATACAAAAATACCACTTTTCTTTAAAATGACAGTATACCAGGTGCCATGTTTTTACAGGATGCTTTACACTGTCATTCACTAACAGTCCAGCAAGGTATTTCCAAATGATTTGGTAGTTTTATTTTTTGATGTTGCAAATGTATTTTCCCTTTAAACACTGCCTGCTGCATGCAGCATCATTGTGCACTCTCAATGCACACATTGAACAATAGGATGCAAACTCACACTAGGCTGACATTAATCCCACATCTGACCAGTGTTTATTGTGAGATTTAGGGTGGGAGTCCAGATAATCAATAATATAGATAAAGAGCCATCAAGGACAATGGCCCAAAAAAAAAAACCTCCCAAGCATTGCTTTGACAATACATAATCATGTACAAATGAACTGTATGGTATTATTATTACGCCCTAACTACAGAATTGGGACCATCCCAACTATAGTGCTGCAGTTGGGTCGGCCCAAATGTAGTAAGGGCGCTCGTGGCAGGTTGCTCACGCCGCTCAGCTAAGACGTGCTAATTGTGGCCGTGGCGCCATGTATTTGTCATGCTGCAGGGCGGGCCGCGTTGTAGTATAGTATAAAGTGCTTTAAGATTGCTGATACGATGGTATACAAATATTGAATGCTTCGAGTGGTGTAGTAAAACTAGCCTCCCGAGGTGATCCATGGACATTCTATTTTCCCGAGGCGAAGCCGAGGGAAAATAGAATGCTCCATGGATCACCAAGGGAGGCTAGTTTTACTTCACCACGAGATAAAGCATTCAATATTTGTTTTATAACACTTCACCCACAGATTCTGCTTGGTTATAATATTTTAAATTATTTAAATCCGAACACAGTTAAAATTAACTTCAATTTCAATACAAAATTGGTGGAAAATGTATTTCTCTCTTCCAAACTACCCCTTCGCGAAAAGTTTGAACCCAAGTCTGCGGCGCGCTCTCTTTGGAACAAAACGCGCTGCGTGCAACGCGCACACCAGCATCCATTTGCACACAAATACCGCGCCGTGGAAATAGTACTTTGGTTGCTAATGGTATAGTACTTTGGTTGCTACGGGTATAGTACTTTTGGCCGTGCAAAGAAAGATAGCAAAAATAGAAAGTATCATGTGACTCGCTCTCGGCCAATCAAGACACAGAATCTGCGGGTGAGGTGTTATAAAAATCGCTATATTATAAGCATTACAATAAGCACTACAATTTATTCAGCAAGTTTCATTACTTATTTCACTTGTACACAGCAAATGAGTCATGGGGTTATAACTTGTTAGTGTTACCATAAATGAATATTCATGGTTGGCTGTTCATGAATATTCATGAATTGTTTACCTGGTCATATTCTGAGGCTCCTGGGTAGAGTGGCCAGCCAAGGAACAGTTGAACAACCACACAGCCCAATGACCCCATGTCAATTAGTTTACCATCAATGAATATTCATGAATTGTTTACCTGGTCATATTCTGAGGCTCCTGGGTAGAGTGGCCAGCCAAGGAACAGCTCAGCTACCACACAGCCCAATGACCACATGTCAATCGCCTCACAGAACGGTAAGCCAAGGATGATCTCAGGTGCTCTGAAAGAAGAGAATGGTAAGAGGTGTAAGGTTAGAGTAAATGAAGATACAAATGAGAAGAATGTTGCAACAAAAAGAGAGCACAGGGGGCAAGTTCGCGCAAGGACTATAGTTAACCATTGGTCTACTAACGCTTGCCCGAACTCTGTCTAGTCGACGATGGTTAACTACGCTAGTCGACTATTTGGAACCAGCCTACTGGGTTGGTTGCTTCGCTGGTAACATAGCCGCGCGCATTCATAACGTACAGCAGAGAGCCAGGATCCAGAAGTTTTGCGATGACATTTTGACCAGCGTTTGACTAGAGACGTTCGCACGTTGCTATCAGTGCGCAGGCGTAAGGTACGTCACAAATCAACCACTAGTCGACTAATGGTCCTTGCGCGAACTTGGCCAGAGATGTAGATCGTGGACGGGGGAAACAGATTTAACGAAACGGACAATTATCGCTTTTTGAATATCATCAAATAAGTGGACATCAATGCTTGAAATGCTCGTTCCCTTATTGACTTGCCAGGGTTGTAAAAAAAGACAACAAAGAAAGTAGCCTCTACAGGAACGAGACATTTTTGTGATTTCATCAAACCTGTCACAAAACGCAATGTTTGAGGTGTCTTGAACAATACTCAAGGTTTGTTGTGCAGTCTGGCCACCTAGAGGCTTAGACCTTGCCTGGGGTAAGATCAGCTCACAATAGCCAAGGGTACATTGCTCCTTTCATTGGAGTCCTGACAACAGGTCAACTAAGCTCAATTGTACAGTCCTGCTATGTGCAGGATTGTTCATTTCAAGACCATAAACAGTAAGCAGTCTAGTCATGATTCATGCACATAAAGTTGCTCTACATGAAGCACATTTTTATATCTTGAGTACGCAGCAACTTTGTGCAGCAGGCAAATGATATTCCACCTAGTCCTTGTTAAGCTCTCCGAGTGCTGCCCACTTTGTCAATATCAATGTAGATCATACTGCAACTTGCATCGTCAATGCCTGCATTATATACGGAGCTGGTTGGAAACCCTAGCCACTGTATTGAATTTAACAAAGCCACATGCAGACCGAGAGTAAACACTTCAATCACTTCAAGTTTTCACTTATAAGTTCGAAAATGCAGCACTTGTAACGTGAGCAGCTTTTTGAACATGACAGCATTGAGCAGTACTACCCACTTCGTTTTTTACTGTACTGAAATTCAATCCTCCTAACCTGCTACTTAGGAATTTAAAAGCATAATTCATTAAGGTTGTTGTATAAAAAGTCTAAAATTATCTGAATAATAGGCCTACAACTTTTGACTCTAAACTTGGTACACAAGGGTAATATTGTGTCCTTGTTAGGCCAAAAAAAAAAATAAGTCGGTCTCTGGCATCGATTTTAATCATGCGCGTCAATCTTTTTTTTTTTCAAAAATGTTCCGCAGTAGCTCCAACAGCGCCCTCTATTGCCGCACCTCCTCAATTTTTTTTTCACCAAAGAGCACCAAGGAATGGGAAATTGCACCAAGGCAAATGATCGAGAGCACCAAGGCAAATTATGGAGGACACCAATGTACATGAGGACACCAAAAAAAGCAAAATAGTACCCAACCTTGTCTGTACAATCCAAGCTTGAAGAAGAAGAAAAAAAAAAAAAAGCCGCGTCGCCGCGTCAATTCCGGAACTTTGGTCTGACCAGAGACCGAATATTTTTTTTTTTTTGGCCTTAGTTCAAAATAACTTTTCCAAGGGGCAGCGCAGCCAGCAGCCCAGCGAGTATAAACCTGCACGCACAGAGAACAATGGGAGCATGTTTATATCCTGACCTGCACTGCCCAGGTGACGCTAGACTGCTATCAATTACACTATGTCCTTCCTTGTGTCTTCCTAATCCCTAGGCAACTATTGTTATTGTCCCTGGTCTATCAACATTCTAATGTTAACCTGTTGATTGACCCCCCCCCCCCAAAAAAAAATCACAGCAAGATCAGGTTGTTTTCCTTCAAGGAAAACAAACATTGTTACATGCACTAATTGGCTCCAGACACATCCAAGGCTTTTTCATACTTCATTTTTTTTTTTATTGCAGCGTTACTTATTCATGGCGAGAAATTACTTTTGATAACAAGACTGCATGACGGCCCAAGAAAGTTGAGTCATAAAAGTTGCACATGGCAATTTCAAAACAGCTCCGGATCTGTGTTTAAATGTTTCCATTTTACCGCGGTGGAAAGTGTGTAACATACTGTACATAGTCAAGTACAAGAAACAAACTACTAAAACCCTTAAAGTTGTCACACAAAGGTGCATCATTCAACAGAGTTTTGGGGGATTCCATGTAGGGCTGTGCATTTACGGGTAGAACGGGTACTTGGGTAGCCATTACAAAAACCCAACACCAAAATTCAAATCTCGGAAGTTGCTGTTCAGATTGTTTTTAAAGGTCCGTACGATACTACAACTACATGTAAACTTGCGTCAAGATACAAATGCATACAGTGAGCTTTCTAGCTTTAAAGCTATAGTCCATCATTTGCAGCCATCCGAAAAAGTAACTGGCGTATTATTGTTGAAAAACATACTTGGTTGAAAGATACTAAGTGGACTAAACTCCCTGTGAAATTAATCTTCCTGGCAAGCTATCATTTTGAAGTAATCAACGACAGAAGGCCTTTCCAACGGTGCGTCTTAAGACACACCGTAGGAAAATTTAAATTAGTAGTTCGTTTTGTTATTCGGCGCAGCGCCCGCAAGCATTGGCACGACGCACAGGCGCGCGCGGTTGCTATAATTCGTGGTATCAGTGCGTGACATCGCGTGTAGCTGCAATTCAAAACAATTCAAAACATGATTCAGCAACTTTTGACTTGAAATTGAGATCCTAGAATGCTGTTTTTCTCGGAATATACAGCTGAAGCTGTGCTGAAACTTCATCAGGTTAGTTGTTCAGTATCCTTCATTAGATTTTGAACACTTTTGTTGCTTCAAACGAACAAAATGCACAAATTACAAATGATGGACTATATATCTTTAAGGTGTAAACTGCAACTTTCGCGAGCGTCATAAACGTGAAATATGTTTTGTTTTCCCATGTGGCCTGGTTTTCATTTTGAAGATTCTCCACAAATGACATTCAAAACCTTTAAAAGTCAATAAGTAAATTTGTAAAGTTGGTTACGGGTACTCGGTTCCATAATCTGGAACCGGTTCCTGACAACAATGGTCGGGTACTCGGGTACCCGGTTCCGACGCACAGCCCTAATTCCATGGAATATCTAATAGACTGTTTGACTTACCTGTAATAGCGACTTTGGAGATAGGTTGAACACACAGCCTTAGAGACATGACTCGCTGAACCAAAGTCAATCACTTTGACTCTATACGGCTGCCGCGCTGGATCCAACAACATAATATTCTCTGGTTTCAAGTCAGCATGGATAAGGCCAAGCGTCTTGAGCTTCAACAGAGCCACCAAGACTTGCTGAAGTACCGGTCGAATGTGCTTCAAAGGCAACGGTCGAAACTTGCTCTGCTTCAAGAAGTCGTACAGGTTCTGCTCCAACAGTTCAAACACCAGACACGTGTGATTCTTATGCTGAAAGCATTCGTACGCACGGACAAAGTTAAACTCATCAGCACTCTCAGCACTCAATCGAGATAAAATGCTGACCTCGATCTGGCCTTGCCTTGCATACGATGGGTGGTTCTTGAGGATCTTGATGGCCACTATCTCATTAGTGCCGCGCTTCCAACACTTGACAACTTGTCCAAATGTTCCCCTGCCCAGAAACTCTAAGACTTCATAGCGATTCGTCAAGGAGCACAGCACCTCATGTTGGACTAGTTGATAATCCCCCTCCCCGCCCGATGTACTCTTGGATGTTGTTTTCTTCACATTGTTGTTGTTCTTGCTTGTACTTAGATGCTGTTGTCTGGTTTGTTTCTGCTCGTGGCGATTGTCCAACTGCTCATCACTTTTACGTTTCATGCCGCACTTCTGGTAGGTGTCCAGCAGCTTGATGGTAGAGGCTCTGATGACGTTCTGCGACCGACCAGTGGTGTGGTTCTTGTTGTTGACTAGCGAGTAGGTGACTCCACTAGGAATGAGGGTTGGGTTGAGGAGAACGGTACACAGATTGCTGGTCGTCTGCCCTGTGATTGGATTGGTGATGACTACATTATTGTTGTTCAGGTTATTGGCGTTTTGGGGGTGACACTTCTTGATTGAGTAGAATGCGCTGATCTGGGAACCAAACTGGGAAGTTTCATGCGATGTCATACCTGGAGAGAGAACACATACAATGAATCAGTTAATAACAATGAAACCACTGCTGACAATGCAACAAAGACTACATGATGTCAACATCTGGGGAAGTAGTGAGGCACAGATCACCGATTATGATCATCGATTATCATGATTATGCAGCCATCTAACATGACTCGATACATGTATTTGTTTACAATGCAAAACTATCAGATGTGAAACCAAGACCAACTTAAAAAGTAACACTTACAGAATAAAAGCCCAAGTAACTAAATGCTTTGTACACGATAGACACACATACACACATACATATGTGTAAATCATTACAAAGCATATATTTGTTTACAATGCAAAACTATCAGATGTGAAACCAAGACCAACTTAAAAAGTAACACTTACAGAATAAAAGCCCAAGTAACTAAATGCTTTGTACATGTACATGATAGACACACATACACAAATCTGTTGAAACCATTACAAAGCATTATATCCAATAATCTGAACTACTATGAACATAAACGTTGCAGTTTCTAAATTACAGAATGATTGTTCATTATGATACATGTACCAGTAAAGGGAAGATACAACATTTGCAAACATCACAAAACAAAATGATCAAATAATCAAAAAACACCTCACTAGATTGTTAGGGAATGACAGTGTAAAGCATCTTGTAAAATTGTGACTCCTGGTGTGCTGTCATTTTCATGAAAAACAATTTTTTTTTTTCCAACGCTGGTCAGCCGACCAGCGTTGGAGAAAACTGTCTTTTTTTCAAAAATTGCTCCTAATTTTTCATAATTAGTTATTCCGCGTTTTCTTTGCAATTGTTTACACACCTGTGAAGGGGTACAAGCCTTCTAGACTGATTTTCTGACATTACAATTTCCCAAAGTCATGATTGCTCCGTTTCATCTAAAGTGGGTCAGGGAACCAGACCACAAGAATACGATTGGTTTTCATGGTTTTTCCAAGCATCTACAAGCCCAAAACATGAAAAAAGTCATTTCAACATTATTTGCTATAACATATTAATCCTCCAGATCCATCTATTTCCAAAAATTGCAGCAAAAGCAAATGTTGTACATTCCCTTTAATTAATCACACAGATCTGACTGATATGTTCGTATTATATTATGATATATTTTTTAAGCCAATGATTTCACTTTCACACATCCCTTGAATGCAACATTGGCTGGTGAGGAAACTGTAGTTACTGACTCACTGCAGCAATGCATCCTGGGAATGGTTGCATCTAGGACCGTGTAATAAACTCATGAATGTTGTCTTGATCATGATGCAAGCTCAAAATGCAGCACATTCAGCGATCAGAACAAACACTCATGGGATTTTACACAAATATTTTCCTTTTCCATACCAAACATTCTACATATATACACGTACAAGAAATGCATTCATTTTTGTAACAATTACATACTTTTTGTACGATGATCAATCATATCAGCACTACTGATGCAAAACCTAATGTTTTGAATTTGTGCCAAACATGCAAATTATTTTCCTTGAAAGTGCATTCAACACTTAGTGTTGAGTGCAATGCAATTTCCAGAACACATAACACTAGAAATGCTTACTGCGGTCATAACCAAGAATTGGTTCGGTGGTTTCTCTTTGGTTAATTGTTTTGGGGATTTGAGTACTACATGATCATGCGTATTTCTAACCCAGTTAAAATTGCTGAAGAAATTCACCGACAAGAAACTACCGAACCAATTCTTGGTTATGACCGCCAAAACGCACCCTAGATTGAATTCTTTTTATATTAAACTGGCATGGGAGACTAAGGTTTTAACGGAATAAATTAATTTAATCACACGTACAAAATGTAGCAGCTGGCACAGGGAATTTTTCACAAACTGTACATTGAGTCTCCTGTACATATCGTTTTTGCTGTCAATGCAAAAAATCGTGCAGGATTGGTATGCGTGTTTGTAAATATTGACATCAAGATCTACATGTATTCATGAACCTATGCAGGCCATGGCAACAAGCTGCCATTGCCGCTATATGTAAACACAGAGGAAGTCATGATCCTCAGCGATATATCGCCTGATGTCATCAGATCATACAAGCTACGTACGTACTGGTATGTACAATGTACACGTAAGTATCTGAATATAATAGCCATTACGTATGCACACTGCTCTGACAATTGTTCGGTGGGTGTTCCCATTTTGACCTGCATTGAGAACCAACAAAAGCACAATGCAGGAATATAGGCCTAAAACTGCACAATTAAAGGGAATGTACATCATTGGCTTTTGCTGTAATTTTCAGAAATGAACTATTTGAGGGGTTGGTATAATAGATCAAGTACTGTTTAACTGACATTTGTGAAGTTTTGTGGTCGAAAATGCTGGAAAACCAAGAAAAACAACAGTGTTCAAGCAGTCTGGTTCCCTGACTCCACTTAAGATGAAATAGATCAATATTTATAGATGCCGGAAAATTGTAAGGTGAGGGAACCAGTCTAGCCTGCCTGCACCCGTTCATGAACATGTAACCAATAGCAAACACAATTTGGACTGAAAAATGGTAAATTTGGAGCAGTATATAAAATAGTTAGGTTTTTCCAACGGTGGTCCGCCGACCACCGTTGGAAATTTATACAAAAATACCATTTTCTTGAAAATGACTTCACACAAGGTGCCATAATTTTACAGGATGCTTTAGACTGTCATTAACCAACATCCTAGTAAGGTATTTCGTAAAAACTTGGTAGTTTTATTTGTTGATGTTTGCAAATGTTGTATATTCCCTTTAACCACTAGAGGAATCTTTACCATTCTAAAATGAACAGTATCAGTGGTTTGAATGATTCATTCAAAATCATCATTTCAACTATAAACTCACTCGCTGGCCGACAAACTGAGCAGTCAAAATCAATTGACTGTTTTTAATAGTTAAGAATTCCCTTGTTAATTCGATATAGCCATGCTGTGACTGGAGGTGATTGATATGCCAGCTGTACCTACCAGTTACCTCTTTTGTCTGTTGATGGAGTTTGACTAGTCACAGTGTTTACATGAATGTGATCTGACTGTTTTTAACTAATCTGTACAAAAATGCATGGCATGGAAAGTGGAAGAATTTTGACTGTCTTTGACTGATCAAGCCACAAAAATGATTGTAAATTTGGAACTAGGTTTGTAATTTATTACAATGCTTTCTAATAGGTAAATGTCTCTTTTCAGGATGGGAGCTGTTACCCTAAATAGTGCACAGTATGCGTTCACACATTGGAAAGTAAGGAAGCACTTAAAATGACTAACAAGAAGGAAAGTTTGCTTTTTATATCAACAACTACTTCATCAGATGCCTTCACACCACAATATGCAAAACAAACGTGAAATACATGTAGTTAATCTATTCGATTTAAGCAAACTTTAAGCCCTGTGTGTAAAAATGGACCATCACAAATTGTTGGTTTAACCCTAACAACCCTGAGCCCATCAGCGGGTTTTGCTTGATTTTGGCAGGGTTGGTACCGAACACTGGCCAGTTGGTGTTGGACTTTGATTGACTGGGTACCAAAGGCCCAGGGAGACTCTGTTGAATTTTGTGAGGTTCGGGGCAGAAGGGCATGAGATTTGTGAACACGTTGGAGTTTGAGGGAGTTCACTGGCATTTCTTCGTGGGTATGCTCACCCACGGTCCTCAGCACAGTTTGTGGTCAAATGTGCATGTACATGTACATTGGAGTTTGGGGGAGTTCACAGGCATTTCTTCGTGGGTACGCACACCCACGGTCCCCACTATACTTCTGTTCAAATATATTGCTTTATTTTGTTAGGTTTGGTACCATCCCTATCCATCACTTGACAATGCATAGGCCCATCCATACCAAGTCAATCAAACTCCAACAGTTGGAGTTTGGCAGGTTTAGTACTGTTCCCCGTACAAGGCCTGTTGGAGTTTGGCAGTTTTGGTACCAGTGCTTACAGACCTGTATGCAGCTGTTGAAATTTGTTAGGTTTGGTATACTTTCTAGTGCAAGAGCCTAGGGGGTTAGGGTTAAAGGGTGATGTCATGTTAACCAGTTCGCGCCGGGATTATTTTGACATGGACCGGACCCAGTCGATGCCAGACGGGTTCAGGCCGTCTTCTGCGGGTAGCACACCCTGATATTTCTGGCCTCGCTCGCTAGTACAAGGGTGGCTGACAGATATTTCCAGCCTCGCTCGTTGCGTGTTTATCCGTCATCCATTCCGAATACCGCAAAACCTTTGCATGTATGTCATCTGACGAGAAATGGTTAATAACCCTAACCCACCTCACTCCTCCAAAATCCTCCTGGCGGTTTTGGAGGATTCTAGAGGATTGAGGATGAATGGTGATTGAATCAAATGAGGATTTTGGAGGATTGAGGATGAATGGTGATTGAAGCACATGAGGATTTTGGAGGATTGAGGATGAATGGTGATTGAAGCACAAGAGGATTTTGGAGGATTGAGGATGAATGCATTTTGAGGCAGGACTGTCTGATGATTTTGAAGGATTTGGCATTGGTTATCCTTCATTTAAACACGAGTGCAAAGTTTTGGGATGAGGAGGATTTTGGAGGATTGAGGATGAATGCATTTTGAGGCAGGACTGTCTGACAATTTTGAAAAATTTAGGCGGAGTTGCAAAATTTTGGAGGATTTTGGAGGATTGAGGATGGTTGTAAGCAACAAGGGCCTAGGGGGTTCGGGTTAATATCTTTCACCCCCCCCCCCCCCAAAGTGGTAGTACTAATTAAAAGTTTGTTCATTTGTTTGGTGAAACAAGAAATACTATTCAACATTACCTACTCTGAGTAGGCCTACTCTCACCCTTCAACTTGCCCACTAGTACCCCCAGGGCTGCGGGTCTGTTTACTAGCTGTAGACAGCCCCTGAATACTCATGAGCTATGAATTCACTTTGAAGCTATGTAATCTGGTACACCACTCAATAGTCTGGCTACAAGCTACAGACACTCGGTCTAGCAACGGCCAGAGCCACACACATGTTTAGAATACAATGCCACAAGACCTGACCAGCTTACAAGCAGCAATCTCACTTTATAGTCCTGTTTATATTGAGGCATGTGAAATCATCACAGTCATACATGATGTCAGATACTATCATCAAACATCAAAGGATATTTACAGTGGAAACTTAATTTGTGTACATTAATTTAATCAACAGGATTTTTGCTGAAGGGCCAATGTCAAAAATTGAAACTTCTCCGGAATCAGACAAAATACAGACTTGCTACCCTCGCTGAATCTATGTATTAATTCATTTTACATATTTTGCTTCAACTGATATGATTTCTGTGTATAGTTTAATCTGTTTATAATATTCAGTTTTTTAATCTATCAAAGTGCAGTCTATTTTGTTTGTTTAAATAAATATCTTAAATATATCGTCATTATTTTGTTTCATTTTAGATATTTAGATTTAATTGTACATGTTTGATTACTGTGTAAAGTTTAACTTACATGAAATTAGGAGTAATTATTTGAGTGTAATTTACTAATCAAGTTCGATTTCTAAGTGGAATTAATTTGTATTGTTTTCTGGTGATTATTATTGAGCAGTAGTTGCTAACTAGTTAGGTTTTTTCAACGGTGGTCGGCCGACCACCGTTGGAAATGTATACAAAAATATCATTTTCTTGAAAATGACTTCACACCAGGTGCCATAATTTTACAGGATGCTTTAGACTGTCATTTACCAACATCCTAGTAAGGTATTTCGGAAAAACTCGGTAGTTTTATTTTTTGATTGTCTGCAAATGTTGTAAAGTCCCTTAAAGTTTTTGAGTGTAGCAATTTATAAGAAATGTAATGAGCTGCAGCAGTGCACTTTACATCGGAACACAGTGCTTGTTTGTACCCTCTTGTTTACTATTCATCCAATTGTTGCGATCATTACAGGTGTGAGATTGGGAGAAAATGAAATATCCACGAAATAATCCATAGAGGATTTGAGGGTCGCCGAAGGCCCAGAGCAACGAAGGGTCTATGGAATATGCTTGTACAACTTTGCCTAAAGGCACCCCTAAAACCAATTCCTTTTGTTCTACATGTATATACCGGTACATGTACCTTGATAGGTAAAAACAGGCTTACAGAAAAACCTCTGCAATTCCAAAGGGATTCTTTTAAAAAATCCTGAAATCACAAACTCCCTTCAAAAAGTCTTGAAATCGGGGAAAATCCTGACAAAATATCCACAAATCAGGAAAAAAATCCTGACAAGAAAATCCTGAAATCAGGATAAATCCTGACAAATCTCACCCCTGTCATTAACATTGACCCTCCATAATTACACCACTTCCTCTGAGGTCAACCGTGGAGCTTCTCTGCCACCATGGCCACAGGCTACAGAATCCTTCCTCAACCCTATCATGTATTTTTCCACTGACCTGCTTTTTATATGCTTACCATTATTTTTCAGAGGAAATACATGTACATTGACTCAAGTCAACAATAACCACAGCTCAAGGTTATACGAAGTTCACTCAACACCCTGTGTACAAACCCTATGAGATTGGACTGAAAAATTCGAAGTGTTTTCTAAGAAAATGCTTGTATTTTCTCACTGCTCAAATGGACTTTGATGACATGAAATTGCTATCTGGGGGCTTGTTAGTCAATACAGAGGAAAATTAGTGAACTTCGTTTAAATGGAAATCTTTCCCAGGATTTTGTCAGTGTGGTTTGATGAACAGAGAACATGAGGGGAGCCGAGGACACTAATGTTGGAGAGGGATTAGGGACGAGTGGAGGCCGGGGACCAAGTCCCCAGATGATGTAGAATAGGCTGCGCCCTCGCACCGCAGTGTGAACGATGGTATGAACTATCTTTCTACCTTCGTTCTGTGGTGAACTGTTTTCGTAAGAAAGCACCCTTTAATATTATGCTGTAATGGAGTACCGAAGTGTGATGTCTTTGTTCTGGTTCATGCACTGGTATATAGCGCATTGATATCAATGCACACTTAAGTTATGCGCGTGAACAAGAGTACACAGGGAAAACTTTTATATTGATGTCCCCTTGCACAGAATAGAGTAGCCTACTAATTTGTTTTTGTAATTTACATTCGTTGAGTATTTGTTGGTCAATTATGCTCCTTGTCAGAGTGTAATCGTGCAGGAAAAATTTTAAAACATTTCCTTTTTAGGCCTGATCATGTCTCCATCATATCAACGAACATAAGTTGCGAAATGTGGATGCCGATTAGCTGGAGTTACCCAGCCCTGAGTTTTATCATATGGGTTGTCTATAAGGGCTGGAGCGTATTTTTCTCATAAGTAGTAGTATATTCAAAAAAAATTTGGAAAATGTTCAATTTTGTCCCCGTTACACACTAATTGCAACTGCAACTCACCCCAAACTTGCCTGGAATAACCATTACACAGGTCATTGAAGTAAAAAACGATCCACGATGAAGATTCAGCCTACAATTGCAGTGAAAACAGGAGGAATAACCGCTAACTTGACAACCTTTCAGGCATGGCCAGGACTGCTATGGAATTTTGCACACAAAAAAATTGTGTACAATGAATGGCGGCGGTCGATTACCACCACGTACAGCTCGCTGGTACTACGCGTTTTTGCGGTCGGTGTGACGTGACGCGGAAGCGTAATACCCGATGACTGTTTCATGCATTAAGAAGAGGTTCACTCGCATCACAGTGCGGTACTGGAACGGCAACCGTCGAGTTGGCCGGCTATCGTGCATTCATAGTGCAGTGGTATTTACTCGACGGTTGCCGTTCCAGTACCGCACTGTGATGCGAGTGAACCTCTTCTTAATGCATGAAACAGTCATCGGGTATTACGCTTCCGCGTCACGTCACACCGACCGCAAAAACGCGTAGTACCAGCGAGCTGTACGTGGTGGTAATCGACCGCCGCCATTCATTGTACACAATTTTTTTGTGTGCAAAATTCCATAGCAGTCCTGGCCATGCCTGAAAGGTTGTCAAGTTAGCGGTTATTCCTCCTGTTTTCACTGCAATTGTAGGCTGAATCTTCATCGTGGATCGTTTTTTACTTCAATGACCTGTGTAATGGTTATTCCAGGCAAGTTTGGGGTGAGTTGCAGTTGCAATTAGTGTGTAACGGGGACAAAATTGAACATTTTCCAAATTTTTTTTGAATATACTACTACTTATGAGAAAAATACGCTCCAGCCCTTATAGACAACCCATATGATAAAACTCAGGGCTGGGTAACTCCAGCTAGATGCCGATGGAGTGATGGTGCAACATTGTGAAAATGGCTTAAAACACATGGAAAATCAACTTTACTTTGTCGTCATTTTATAGTATTTTAAATTGAACAAATGACATGATTTATAAGTTAGAACATGTAGTCCTACCCACTGGGCACAATGATGGCATGTTATTGTTAGTGTTACATAAATGGTACAGTCATACTTTTAGTCAGTGATGAACAAAATGTAGTCTGCTGTTTGATCATAGTTTGCGTCCTTTCTCTTTTTGATCACTAGAGCAAGGAACAGAAAGAAATAAAGAAATTAAGCACACAATCGAAATTACAAATTGTGTTGTCAACAACCCAAATGACTTCATATTCTTTAAGACATAATCATTTTTGATCCAGATACCTTTTATTTGAAACAGTTTTGGAGGGTTTCGGCTGCGTTTTCATCGCCAAATCGTTGAGGTCTTCAACTCGGCTATCACGAGGCTCAGGAATTCTGCCACCAGACAATGAAATCTCCAAACGTAAAACGTGTCGTGTCCTTTCCAAATGGCGTCGTTTATCTCTCGATTTCCTTTATTTCGACAATCAAATCCACCAGATTTTGCCCCGATGTGGTGGTACAATCTCTAAATAGTTCTCCAGGCGTGGATTGGAGGGGGAGGATGCGCATTTCGGGGCAGTTTTGGATGTTTTTTCTCCCCATGTCGCGCCATTTCTTCAACGTTTCTCTTTCATCATGTCTCGTCGTATCGCGTAATAGTCGTATGTAAATTCACTGGAAATGCAACATCGCCACAGCACATCAGCTGCGCAATGACGTCATGGAAACCACCATTCTACTCAATAGGGAGGTTTGCCTTTTTTTGCGAGCAATATTATTAACCATGCGTACATGTACATGTATATTATGCGTTTATTCAATGCTCGTTATTGTTTACTGAGTGAAACAATGAATAAATAATTAAAATATCTAATGATAGTGCAATTTGAAAAAAAATCAACCTAAGCTTAGTATTCAGTCACTCAGCACGGTTTTTTTTATAATCCCTCTCGTTTGTAGCAAAAACAATATCATAGGTCCTGTTTTGATTTCCATTTTGTCAAGTTTTCAATCCCATCATTATGATAATTTTTTGTTTTCCTGCAAATAAAAAGGGATACTAAATATCAATCTCCTTTCTTGTTTGTTTGTGCCAAAATTTGGACCCTGCAAATCCGGTATCTTGTGTAGTCCATGATGTGAGTTTGAATCGATTATACTCGGGCTCCACTCGTCTCAGTCTTTCAGGCAAAAACTCCAGGCTCACCTCTACCCAGGTGTTCATAAAATCTGTTCTACCGTGCTATTTTTGAAAATATTTATTGATTACTATTTTTCTACCAAAATTAAATGTAGCTGATTTTTTTTTCGCTCGACGGCTCATTCACAAATTGAACTTTACAAATTCCGAATTTTATTTGATAATTCAGGCAGATCTTTTTGGTGCAAAACTCAGAATAAAACCTTTTTTTTTCCAAAGTGTTGCAGCATCGAGCTATAGCTCCATGGTTGCAGTGACCCGGACACCAGGCGCGGTGTCATATGAAAATCGGACTCGTATGAAAATCGGACTCTTTTTCCCTTTTATTGGTTAAACCCTCTCACGTGACCAGTCCCTCTCCTAATTTTCTATGCATGAGCATGCGCAATTCCACCAATGAGTCCGTATTTCATAAAACCTAAATTCATGCTACAGCTGTTGTAGAGCCAATATTTTTTTTTGGGGGGGGGGGGGCTAGCAGGGCGGATCCAGATTGTTTTTTCAAGGGAGGCGTGCTGAAATGTAGACCGGTTATTTTCTCCGGACACTAAGGCCTCCGAAAATCAATAGGTGTGTGTGTGGGGGGGGGGGGGGGGGGAGGGGAGGGGGGGCTTGTGCCATATATTTTTTTGGGGGGCTAGACAATTAAAGCCCCCCCCCCCCCCCGTAAAACCGCCACTGCCGGATATAAAGATTCGTGAGGAGAAAAAAAATCGAAGTTGTAATTTTCCGTGTAAATCGCTAACCTTTCACGTGATACTGATAGCTTTTTCAATATTCACTTCAAATCGCCCCTTGGATCATCACTCGCCCACATATCCCACACCCTCGCGACCAGTCGTATGCAGTGAGGTCCCAGCCGCGTATGTGCGCGTGCACACGAAATAAAACCAAGGTGCTCCCGATCCCCCTCACAAAACACCCCCACGAGTCACAATGAGCATTGCCCCGCAACAGTCTCTAAAAATACACGTGCTCGATACACGGAAAATATGAATATTCATTGCCAAACCGGAAACACAAACGAAAATTTGATGAATATGTATATCTATGGAAAGTGCATTGTGTTTTGGGTGCCGGAGGTCGTTACGTCAGCATTATTTGGAGTAGATTTGCAAACAGGTGCATGAAGTGCTGTATCGGCATTTTGTGGAATGAGCGCGCGTGCTGTCGATTAAACACAATAGGTAGCAACACGTGGTACATACCGCGGTAACAGGTGAGGTCCTACTACAATTGTATTACAATGTAATAGGTTTTCCTGACAACAAAGTCTGTGTTTAGTGGAAGGTTTCCGGATTGCTATTGTCTGTAGTAATTTTGGGCAGGTGGCGAACCGGACTACTGTGCAGTAATGGGTTTTGGGGGGTGGATACCGGTTGACGTGATTTTTGATTATTGGTACATTGTATTTTTTTTCTTTAGAGAATATGATTTAAGTATAGGTATATATTTTTTCCTCACTTTTTTTAATGAACCTGTTGATTCTCTTTATTTATAGGAGGTATAGGGTATTTTTGGGACCGTCAAGGAAATAAGGTCTTAAAACTTGTTTGCCACATCCCTGCTTTTCCACTGTATGGGGACTAGCTCTTTATGTTTACTTTTCAATACATAGTTCTGGATATTTTGTGTGTGTCATTATATGGAAATTGCGAATAAATCAAATCAAATCAAAATGTGTGCAGATGAAAACGCTGTACCAAAAGCCTCCTGACGGCTCTGATGATATTACGCATTACACAATGTCATTGCATAGTAGTCTCCATAAGTTGAAGGGAAAAACTTGATTCACGATACCAAGTAATTTACAGAGTGCCCATACAACGTATTTGCATGGGTCTATAAACACATGGTATTTGTAAACTTTAACAATCACCATAACAATTATGTTACAAGAAAATCGTTGTGCAAAAGTATTGTTTCAAACCAGTATATTTATTATAAACACACTTATATAAATAATAGTATTACTTATAAGTGTGTTTCACTACTTTATTCTTTTCTATTTTGTTTTAAGCTATCACCGGCTTTCAAGAAAATACAGGAGGCATTATCAGTGAGGCATAATCTCGGAGTACGTACGAACCGGATATTGGATCCGGCGAATCGTCGGTATCAAACTCCGAGATATTCCTGTTGTTGAGTTAAGTGACCAACTATAGACCGGCTCCAGGCTGGCAGTACTTTTGTCTTGAATGTGCAGCGTGTATACTCGATCAAAGTTGTACATGTTCTGGTGGCGAACAACACATTATCTTGATAAAAAATAAGTCAGTATTTGAATCCATCTTATAAACTCACTGGTTAGTGAGAATGGGTCTCAGTTGCGATGCATTGTTAAGTTTGGGTGGAATACAATGCATTTTGACCGTACAAATTAACGGTTATGGAATTCGATAAAAACAAACACTTGAAATTTGGCATCGTTTGGTTCCGAAATTCCTCGGCGGTCTTATCTGGGAAGATGGACACAATTTAAGTGTTTTGGTTTGGAGGCATGTGTTTCATATCGCGAACGGTTTTCGAAATAATCCTATTAAAATTAAATCATATTTACCATATTTCTGCTGTGGGTACTACCAGAGGACGTAAATGTGTGCCGGCGAGTGGGGGGGGGGGGGGGGGGGGGGGTTCGAGGATGAACAAAATCCAAAAATTGTCCGGCCGTGGAAATTCGAAAAGCGGGGGCGGGGAAGGGGGGGGGGGGGGGCTGGACACCACATTACACTGGGGGTGCTGTTCAAGATAGATACAGATGTACATCTTTATGAGTGCAGACCTGCAAATCGACTCCCATAGACACCAATGATAATTACGCGCACTTCCACTAAATTTTTTTAAATACTCACTCTCCAAGCTGTTTGAGACACCTATCAAATTAAAGCTTATTTTATCATCTTTAATTTTCTGTTTGATTTTTTGGGGAGATTAACTGATAACTGAAAAAATTCCATCCAAAGATGATCACCCCAGGCTAAAATCAGTCCTGAAGCCCAACGCAATTTTGAAAATGGACGCCTACGCTGCAATGCAAAATAGAGCCATTTTTAAAAGGGGCCAAGTTCAACAAAATTTCACAGAAATACGAGCTCGCAGTCCTGATCCTCTGCATAGCTTCCACTTTTTTTTTCTTTTTTTTTACAATTCCTCAAGTTCGAACACAGCCCTCAAAATGCTCTAATACCTGAGAATTTGAGGACATACACATTCTGGGCCTACTAATAGATCTGCACCCTCTGTTATACTCACACTTAAATCAAAACGGCGCATTTTAAACTTTTATACTTTTTCTCCATTTTTCAGCGCTATTGAATACGAAAAATACTATCGCATATATCGACAAGACATGCTGGTTCTGTGGGTTCACTGTACTAATTCAAGCCCCATTGGAAACAGTGTAAAATCAACAAAGTTCAGGGCCAAGTATTATGCAAGCCAACATCACTGGGGTTTCTGAAACAAAAATTAAATTATTGTCTTGTCTTTCATCTTTTCATTTCTTTTCAATTTTACGTACATTAGCCAATTACATTTTTAAATATTCACACCCAAATAAAATCACCTCCCGAAAAGTGATAGTTCCCGAGCCTGCATGTAGCCATTTTAAGAGTGGCACCCTTCCACTTTCACAGGCAAATAGGACCCATTTTTTCATCCGTGATTTTATCAAGCCTGCCCTCAGATGGAAGCCCCAAAACCAGGGAGTTGATCCTTGGGCATATTTAAACAATTCCACCGTTTTTAAAGCCAAACGGTCTCCGTTTTCAAAAGAAATTGTGGGGGGGGGGGGCACTTTTTATGCTAATCAGCTGGCGTAGAAATTCTCGCTTGAATTCAGTGCACCCCTGTGCATTTTTAAAACAGCGCCCTCACTTTTTATGCAACATCAAGTGAGGGCGCTATTTGAAAACACCGAGCATGCACGCATGCACGACATGGTGTGGTTTGTAATTTTACAGTACAGTTTAGTATTCAAATAAGTGGAAATAACCTTTCGAATTGTGTGAAATCATTATGGGTAAAATGAACAAAAGTGGCTACTCTAAAGATTTTAGGAAAACGAAGAATGCAGGTCATCATCACACCCAGAAAATGATTGGAAACGTAACAGAAGGTAAGGAAAGAGACAGAGTTGCTCCATGCTGCATCAACTTACAATAGCAGTGCTTTAGCGCACAGCATCAATTACGTGAGAATAGTGCTTGCAGGCGGTAACAGGTCATCTCGTACCTTGGGCAACTCGTACCTTGGACAACTCGTACCTTCAACTCGACGTCATTATACCGAGTCGTACCTTGGACAACTCGTACCTTCGGCAAGTCGTACCTTCAGTTAAGACGACTCGTACCATCACGCGTAAGACAAGTCGTACCGTCAATCAGGATAAAGTCAACGGTCAACCCACCAAAAATTGAAAAGAAAATGAAAGATGACACATTGATCATCATTTTTCTGTGCAGCTTGAATACCTGTGAGAGTTTTGAGTATTTTTAAAATAATTTTGAAGTATGGGCATTTAGCACTAGTGTCTATGGGAGTTTATTTGCAGGTATGCATCCTTAGATCTTGAATGTGGTTCTGTGAGAAGGAAATTAATTTAGGCTGCATCCGAATCAGTTGTCTAGAGCTAGGTCTAGGTCTGCGCCCATTGAAAATACGCGGGGACGCGCTGACAATAGCCGTAGCCGTAGCTCTGGAAGCCCGTTTCGGACACAGAATCGTATCGTTTCGGAGTCAAGGAACCACACACTAAGTCACGCACGTACAGTGTACTCTACTTGTTATTCTGATGGTACGAGTCATCTTAATTGAAGGTACGAGTTGTCCAAGGTACGAGTTATCCAAGGTACGAGATGTCCAAGGTACGAGTTGTCCAAGGTACGAGTTGTCCAAGGTACGAGTCGCCCAAGGTACGAGTTGACTCGAAAGCTTGCAGGCCACCCCTCGTGATCTCTATTCTAAACAGAACAGCTTCAAATCAGCAGAGCAAAGAAAGACGACTAGCCAAAGAGTTGGAGTTACTTTAGAATGCAGGCATGGCAGGGCCACGCGAGAGCAAGTTTTTTTTTATGTAGGGCTAGGCTATGCTACTTGGTCTTGGAGCCTTGGGCTTGGCTTGGAAGTTGGATCGCGACTGGGGTCAGTGGGCATAAAGTACAATAATATGCAGACGTCGCGGAGTCGCGGAGTCGCTCGCCGGTAGAGGGCGCAATTCTCGGCGGTGGGATATCCATATGAATGATCCCGCAAACTGACCTCATTTTTGATGTCAATCCATTTCTTCCCCAACCCCTTTTGCCCGACATGAAAATCACCAACTCTTTCTCCATGTTTTTCACAAGCTACCTGTATTGCTACAAAGTAAATTTATTCTTTTGTTGTTATTAAATTTCAGGTCAAGGATATGCTGATAAACGCAAAAGGAAAATCTTGAACACATACAAGAAAATGATTCACAAAACAAGAACAGCTGAATCAAAGCTGAGTGGCAATCAACAGGTGATGACCGACACGATAGACTCTTCAGATGGACTTCCTCAAGAAACAACACATTACACAAAGTACGTACATGTAGGCTTTTTGTGACACACAGCTGTCGGATACCCCATTTTGACTTTTTCATACCCAAGAATCTCAAACCGCTTTTTCAAAAAAAGCCCTGTCATTTTTGTTCTGTAACTGGAGGACCAAAATGATTTAAAGTGTTCATGCGATGATTTTTTTTCTTAGTAACGTATTTTATGCAACTTTCTTCTCCTCTTAAATGTAGGAAAACTATTGACATCCCTTTTTGGTCAATTGTATCGAAAAGCACACTTCTTTAACCGCCCTGAATCCTCCAAAATCCTTTTTGCAAATTGGAGGAATTTGCAGGATTGAGGTTACATGGCAAAAGTGCGTTGCTGATTTCGGAATACGCACTGTGTCAAGGTCTTGGGCCCGACCTTGTGTTGTTTATGCTCAGCCATGCATAAATTTAGTCCTTGATTATACTTGACATCCTCCGCACTGCTCCAGGATGTCACTGCCTCTGCCTCAGCCTATTGACAGACATAGCCGGAGGATTTTGCAGGATTCAGGCAGTGGTCACCCCTCCATGGACCATATTCAAGAAATAGCGGAGGAATTTGCAGGATTGAGGCTATATGCTATTTTTCCTTGAGGCCAATTGGAGGATTTTGCAGGATTGAGGCTACTTCCTAGCAAAAAGGCCTAGGGAGTTAGGGTTTTAACATTAAAAAAAGTGTCCATGCTTTTCTCGACAACTGAGGGAGCTGTTGCTGTGATGTCATTTCAGGAAGACACTGTTCAGTTTAGGGTTTTTTTGCTCAAATTGTGAACCCAAAATTTGCTTATTGTAAACATTTGTGAGAAATGTTAATACTCATTTGCTTACTGCCATGTACCGACACAACAAATCACCACAGAAAAGAACATTTACGACAGCAAACTATCAAAAATTCCGTCCACTTTTGGTGCTGAAATAACTGTAACATTGAGGTTTCTGCCTGAAATGACATCACATATTTGCTCATGAATATGGACATTTGCATTAGCATGAAAACCAAAAACGCACCAAAATACCCTTGAAAATGGCAAAACAAAAATTGAAAATAAGGTTAAATGGGACACAAAGGTGCATTTTCAAGGATTGCATTAAAAAAAATGACATTGTATGGGTCTTAAGTAAACCGCTGTCATTTGTGTGCTGTAAGTGGAATATCAAAATGATTTAAATGCACCGATAATTATGTCTGTTTATAAAACTTCATAATTCGCTGCTCGCTATAGGTTTCTCAGACCTTTCAAAAAAGTAAGTTATTTTTTAGTGTCATTGTAAATTTGTTACTTCTTTTTCTACAGAAATGTGAATCAACAAGCACACAAACAAAAGAACAGATATATAAAGGCCAAACACAAAGTGGGTTCTCAAGATGGAAAGGCGACAACTGTCAATCGATACACGCAAGCTGAACTACAACGACAGAAGCTAACAAAAGAACATCAAGAAAAGCTTCAGGTAATATAACGGTGAAAAGCACAGTGGATATAGTTAAGGCCATGTAAACAAATGAACCAATTTCGTGTCCCCGCCCGCTTCCTTTTTTTCCGGATGCCTCTTTGTTTTCTTTTTTTTTCTTTTTTTAAATTTGTACAGTAATGTTGCAATACAGTTTGCCACATACATGTCAATATATTGTCTTTGTATTTGTTTCCAACAAAATTGTAGCTATGTAGAAAGGATTATGGCTACTTTAGACACAATTTTGTATCAGAAAAAGAGTCAAGAAGATTGAAGAATCCATCTGCCATGATGCCATCTTGGAAAATCCTCTATCCTTGCGGAAAAAAGGGGGAAAAAGCCCCCCGCCTCCTTCACTTTTTCAAAAAGGCGGACGAGAAAGACTACTTCTTTTTTCGAGCATGAAAGTTTGTTTCCTTTCCCATTATTATATCAATTATATTAAAGATACCTTGTTGAGACTTTGGTTACAGAGCTCGTAGCAGGAGCTTGCGACACCATCACGGTGTCTTTTTCAACTGGCGTTGTTGAGGCCCTCACGTGACCCGTCACGTGACCAGGCTTGGTCACATGACAGGAGGCGGTCGTACACGAGGGCCTCAACAACAACAGTTGATAAAGACACCTTGATGGTGTCGCAAGCTCCTGATACGAGCTCTGTAACCAAAGTCTGAAAAAGGTATCTTTTATTTAATTCTTTTTTTTTTAGTTGGCCAATTACAGTCAATACATGTCTTTTTATTCTTTTGTATTAAGTTATGTGTAGTAATCACAGTTCAATTATGAGCGGGGAAAAGTTACCTCAGCCATTGTGATGGTTTACTTATTTGGACTGTACATGTACATTTCTAATTTTTCTTTTTGGTTATTCACCCCATTCACTGTAAGGCCAAAAAAAAAATGGTCGGTCTCCGGTCAGACCGAAGTTCCGGAATTGATGGGGCGACGGGTTTTTAAATTTTTTTTTATTTGGTGGCTTTTTTTTTTCAAGCTTGTATTGTACAGACAAGGTGGGTACTATTTTGCTTTTTTGTGTCCTCAATCCTCATTATACATTGGTGTCCTCCATAATTTGCCTTGGTGCCCTTTTTCATTTGCCTTGGTGCAATTTCCCCATTCCTTGGTGCTCCTTGGTACAAAAATTTGAGGAGGCGCGGCAATAGAGGGCGCTGTTGTAGCTTTCGTGTTAATTTGAAAAAAAAAAAAGTTGACGCGCATGATTAAAATCGACGCGCGCGCTGACCAGAGACCGAGTATTTATTTTTTTTGGCCTAATAAACAGTGTTTTGCAACCTACTTAAAGGTATAGTCCATCATTTGCAGCCATCCGAAAAGTAACTGGCGTAATTATTGTTGAAAAACAAACTTGGTTGAAAGATAGTAGGACTAAACTCCCTGTGAAATTATTCTTTCTGGGAAGCTGTCATTTTGAAGTAATCAACGAAAGAAGGCATTTCCAACGGTAATTCTTAAGAAGCACCGTAGGAAAATTTAAATTAGTAGTTCGTTTTGTTATTCAGCGCAGCGCGCACAAGTATTGGAACGACGCACACGCGCGCGGTTGTTATAATTCGTCGGATCAGTGCGCAACGTCACGTATAGCTGCAATTCAAAACAATTCAAAACATGATTCAGTAACTTTGGATTTGAAATTGAGATCTTAGAATGCTGTTTTTCTCGGAATGTACAGCTGAAGCTTAGCTGAAACTTCATCAGGTTAGTTGCTCAGTATCCTTCATTAGATTTTGAACTCATTTGTTGCTTCAAACGAACAAAATGCACAAATTACAAATGATGGACTGTAGCTTTAAGGGGCTCAATTTTGAGTCTGATTCATTATGCGGGTATCCATGTACCAAAAACAAAGCCTCAAACAGCCGCTTGACATTTTTGCTTGTAACTGAAACTTGACTTTCAGGCAAACTAATTACAAACATTGTGATTAGATTGTAAACACTGTTTTGCATTGTTTTACATTATATACAGACGACTCTCGTTTGTACAAACTCTGTTAATACAAAATTCTGGTTATAACAAACATAAAGTCTTGGTCTGGACTATGCATTTATATTAAAGGGAATATACAACATTTGCAAACATCGAAAAACAAAACTACCAAGTTTTTTACGAAATACCTTACTAGGATGTTGGTAAATGACGGTCTAAAGCATCCTGTAAAATTATGGCACCTAGTGTGAAGTCATTTTCAAGAAATGGTATTTTGTATACCTTTCAGCCGACGGTGGTCAGCCGACCACCGTTGGAAAAACCAAACTATTTTTCAACTACTGCTCCCAATTTACAATTTTTTTCAGTCACAATGTTGTTTGCTATTGGTTGCATGTTCATGAAAGGGTGCAGGCCAGCTAGACTGGTTCCCTTACCTTACAATTTTCCAGCATCTATAAATTGATCCATTTTATCTTTACTGGAGTCAGGGAACCAGACTACTTGAGCATTTTTTTTTTGGGGGGGGGGGGGGTTTCCAGCATTTTCGAACACAAAACTTCAAACATGTCAGTGTAACAATATTTCATCTATTATACTAACCCTCAAATAGTTCATTTCTGAAAATTACAGCAAAAGCCAATGATGTACATTCCTTAAGCACAATGAATGGGACTGATGTTCCTCTTAATACAAAATTCTGATATAACAAACAATTTGCCTAGGTCCGAACGAGTTTGTAATAACGAGACTCGATTGTAATGGTTTTACATTGCTTTGGGGGAAATGTTTACAGTGTTTAAAATAATAAATTTGAATGTCATAACATTCATCTTTTAAACTCTGTAAAAAGTACAAGCGCTTATGTAAGGTTAACGTGATGGTAAGTGATCCTAAACAGAACTATTAAAAGAATTGCTGTTTTTAAAAACTATTTATATGTACAGCCTGTCTCAATAAAAATGGAACAAACAGAGAAAAAAAATTGGTTAAATATGAAATTTCAAAATAAGTCATTCTTACTTGGCATAATATTAAAGAACAAAGACTGGCCTTTCCAATAGTGTTTGTTTGATCTTATTTGCTTTTGTCAATTCAGAGATACAATCAATTTACTGCGAGACACCAAAATCGATTTTGTGCCACTTTTATGCATGGGCAGAGTTGTTTCGAGTACTGTGCCATGCTGTCTTGAAGCTCACAAAAGATTGCAACTTGGCAAAAGAAACAAACTCGATTTTTGTGTTCCGCAGTAAACTGGAGTTATCTCTGGATTTACAAAAGCAACTGAGATGAAACAAAAAGTATTGGAAAGCCTGGTCTTTTTTCTTTAATGTGATGCTCAAAACGACTTACTTATGTTGAGATTTAATATTTTTGATTGTACCATTTTGTTTGAGACAGGCTGTATAACGTGTTCAAAAGTTAAACACTAGGTTTTGCAGTGAACCATTACTTTTGACAAGCAGCACCTACACACAATTACTTAAAGCTCTTCACTCGACACTTTTCTTGCAGGAGAAGAAAGCAAGACGAGAGACAAGGGAAGAAGCGCTGAGGCAATATCGAGAGAAGAAAGAAACACGGCACAAAAAGCTGAGCAAACGGACACCAAAGGGTCAACCAATCATTAAATATCAGATGGAATATTTACTACAGAAAATACAGTCACAAACATCAAAGAGTTAGCCATACATGGCCCTTTGAAAACATTATCGGTAGTAATGATTGATTGTTCAAGGTTGCAGTCGGTCTGAGGTTGGCATGGTTGGTTTTAATATGGAAGAAACCACACCACTGATCGCACAGTCGTGTTTTACTATACGCCTGAGGACAACCTATTGTGTTTCTCTTTGTCCCTGTACTTTAACACTTTCTCATAGACTAAGCACGTAAACGTACGATCGAGGACAGTTTCGAACAAAAGCACTGTCGTTCGAGGACTGAAAGGATCTTTTGTTCTGCCTTTGTGTGTCTGTCCTCGAGTGTAATACAAGACAAGAACACAATTACATGTATAATGTGTTGATGAAGAGATCCTTTGCAATAACTAACATTTGCCTTGATAAAAACCAATGTCAAGAAGCAACAGGAAAGCCATGACAGCATTAAACAGCAGGGATGTACAGGCTTATAAAGGACGATGCTTGAGGAGGGTCCGAGATGAATATTGAATATGAAGACTTTGCTCCCAAATGCAATCACCACCATTTTGTTGCCTCTCAGAATTTCGCTCTCTCCTGGCTGCCCTAAGTCAGTTTCGATGGCTGTTATACAGGGTGATCCGAAAAAAAAGTTAGAACGACATACTTCCACTACCTGGAGTGCTGTGGCCTCGTGGTTAAGGGCATTGGATTCGTGGTCTGCGGGTAAAGCTGCAGGTTGTGGGTTCGAGTCCTGCCTGGGTCATGGTGCGTACGCCCTTGGGCAAGGCACTTTGTCACTCGATCATTGCTTCTCTCCACCCAGGAGTAAATGGGTACCTGTGAGGGCGGATGTGGTTATTGTGATTGAATTAGCTTCCTTGCGCCTAACAGGCTGCATCGAGCTGTATACTCCCCAGGGAGCTGAGATGGTATTTGGAATGTTTCATGGGCCCAATGAGCAGGGGTAATAATAATGTAGCGCCATGAGCGCCAGTACCTGGTGGATACGTGCGCTGTATACGTACCCACTAGTATTATTATTACCTTGAGTCTCAAACCACCTGTACCAATTGACCGATCCAGTAAGCACCGCCCCAGTGAGCACCGCCCCATGGTGTTCTGACCAATCACAGCCGTGATTTATGTCCGACGTGCGTGCACAAAAGTCCGACGTGCGTGCACGCGCGTATGATGCGCGCGGCAGGAAAATGCAATTTGGCATTGGAGAGGATAGGAGCACGTGTTATTTTGTCCAGTGCGCAGTGGGCGGGGCTTACTGGATCGGTCCATTGATGGAGAATCCTTTTAGAAGAATTATGATACCAAAGTATCCCGATTCAGTCCAGCAATTTTTGCTGCAGAGTGCAGAGCCTATTTGGGAAGCATACTTCTTTCATGTGGGTATTATCAGATAACAATCCCTCTATCAATAACAATAGAAGTCACATTCCCGGGCACGGTTTAGTAATTCATCGGGACAAAAATGACCCCCACCTTGCTTCACAAAATACAGAAACTACTGGACCGAGTCGGGCGATCTTGGTTTTATTTTTCTTCTAAAAAGATTCTCCATACATTGGTGTGTATGGTTTGAGTCTCGGGGTAGTGGAAGTAAGGCAAAAAAAAAAAAAAAATATTCGGTCTCTGGTCAGACCAAAGTTCCGGAATCGACGCGGGCACGCGGCGGTTTTTTTTTTTTTTTTTTTTTCTTTATTCTTTTTCTTCAAGCTTGGATTGTACAGACAAGGTGGGGTACTATTTTGCTTTTTTGGTGAACTTAAGTAGATGTACATTGGTGTCCTCCATAATTTGCCTTGGTGCTTTCGATCATTTGCCTTGGTGCAATTTCCCATTCCTTGGTGCTCTTTGGTAAAAAAAAAATGAGGAGGTGCGGAAATAGAGGGCGCTGTTGGAGCTACCGCGGAACATTTTGGGAAAAAAAAAGATCGACGCGCATGATTAAAATCGACGCGCGCGCTGACCAGAGACCGACTTATTTATTTTTTTTGGCCTAAGAGGATCCGTTTGTTTTTGTTTTTTTGATCACCCTGTAATAACACAATTTGAGAACACAATAAAGTGCAAAAAAAAAAAACCGTTTAGAAACAGCTGTAATAATGTTTTTATTCCTTAAAGTTTCATAACCGGGAAAGGTTTTATCCTTTCTTCCTTTCAAATGGATATATCACGTTTTGGAATAGCCCCGTAAATGTGGCCAATTTACTGGACTACCTCCGTAAATAATGGCCACACTTGGACCATGTAGGCCTACCAGAACTTGTAGAACTTTGTCATATTTTGATTTTCACATTTGGACTACATGTATATGTGTAGTTTATTTACGCTTTAGAAGCATACTCGCCCTCTTTATATCCATAGAAAAGTAGTCCCCCCTTTTTTTCAGACATCTAGTTCTCGTGTTATTTCGTGTTGAAATATTTAGATACACAAACGTGTGCAAACGAACCTCGAAATTACACGAAATATAGATGTCTGAAAAAAAAGGGGGGGGGGGGGACTACTTTTCGCCCCCCTAAGATCTCGGCCGTCGAGTGACGAACAATTTTGAAACTAGGTACATGCATGATGAGCAACTCATCATAAACATACCCAAGAAATTTCATGACTATAGGTCAAAGGGTTTTGGAATTATGGCTAATTAATTATTCATATGTACGAATGGTAACTGTGCTCTGTGTACACAACGTATATGGGAAAGTTCAGTTTGTTTTTTTTCCGATTTTTATGTTTTTTGGTATCGAAAGATGCGCAAAGCTCGAGGCTAAAAAGACATAACAACTCGAGTCGCGAATAAAAAGATTCAAGGCTATCGCGGAAAAAGTTGAAGGGGGGGGGGGCGGATTCCGCCCCGGCCATTTTAGGGTTAATGACAATCAGACGTTCAGTCACGATCCATATCTTTGCAAACCACCGTAAGCCGTCCCGAATTGAAATATATCATACCAAAACATGAGTCAAGGTAAAGCCAGCACAGTTGATTGGGCTTTATTCTGCTGCAGACAGACTAACAAGACGATGACTTACAAGTGACGTTTGTCATTGTAATGTGTCTGTGTCCAAACACGTGCAGGCCTGTCTCGTGCAACCACTTTATCTAAAGGAGAAAAGCAAAGTGGCAGTAAGCGCTTTATATCTGGTTCACTTTTACCTTTAAATGACATACCTACCTATCGTTGGCCTTTTAATGTACTGTATATAGCTGTAATATAATCTTTCGTTCAATTCCCTGAGCATGGAGCGTGTATCATGTTTTTCCTTAATATAGATCAAGTTGAAGTTGTCCACTTCCACGAGGCCCTGCACGTGCGCGCTACAATATACTCACACGCCATGAAAATTGGTCATAAAATCCACCACGTGGACTTCATGGTCTATGCTACCTCTTAAAGATGTAGTCCACCATTTGTAATTTGTGTATTTTATTCGTTTGAAGCAACAGAAGTGCTCAAAATCTAAAGAAGGATACTGAACAACTAACCTGATGAAGTTTCAGCTCATCTTCAGCTGTATATTCCGAGAAAAACAGCATTCTAGGATCGCAATTTCAATTTAAAACTTGCTGAATCATGTTTTGAATTTGGCCTGAATTCAGCGTCCGAGACGCGTTCTCACTGAGCCGATTGCAGCTATACGCGATGTCGCGCACTGATCCGACGAATTATAGCAACCGCGCGCGCGTGTGCGTCGTGCCAATGCTTGCGCGCGCTTCGCCGAATAACAAAACGAACTACTAATACGGTGCGTCTTAAGACGCACCGTTGGAAAGGCCTTCTTTCGTTGATTACTTCAAAATGACAGCTTGCCAGAAAGAATAATTTCACAGGGAGGTTAGTCCCCTTACTATCTTTCAACCAAGTATGTTTTTCAACAATAATTACGCCAGTTACTTTTCGGATGGCTGCAAATGATGGACTCTAGCTTTAAAGTAAATTGCATGTATGAATTGCCCCTCAATGTCTTTTTTTTTTGCACTGTATAAAACTTTGCTTTTTCTGAACCGAAAAATGCGAAAAGTTGACAGGTTTATCCTTTAAAATGATAATGACTTCTTTTAACTTTAATTTTCTTTTAAACCTTATAAAAGTTCAGACAATAGTTGAAAATTACCGTATGTTTTGCTGCCAGTTCTCCCCTAATGGGCCTGAGGCACGAGTTGGCCATTGAGTTCCCTGAATATATTTCATTAATTGTTAACAGTTGAATTGGATGGCGCCAGACTATTTATGCAGGTATATAATGCAACCTTCGTGCCATACTGTCATGTTTTAGTTGATGTTAAGTCATTTTTAATTATTCATTGAAGCAGACTAGACAGGCGCGGTTCTAGAACCAATATTTTTGGGGGGCTAGCAGAGTGGATCCAGATTTTTTTTTTCAGGGAGGCGTGCTGAAATGTAGACCGGTTATTTTCTCCAGACACTTAGGCCTCCGAAAATCAATAGGTGGGTGGTGGTGGGGGGGGGGGGGGGGGGGGGGATGGGGGCTCATAAAATAAAATAAAATCCTAAAATCATTCACACTATATTAACTACAAATGCACCCTTGTCACGACTATTTCTTTAGGGGGAGACCGTTCGCATATACATGTACATCACAACCATGTACATCACAATCCTTCTCTTTTTTTGCAATTTCTTTTTACGGAATTTATTTTGGGGGGGCTAGACAAAATTTGTTTTTGGGGGGGGCTAAATCCCCTCCCCCTAGCCCCCCCCCCCCCCGTAGAACCGCGCCTGAGACTAGAATTAATTAGTAATTAAGTTGCTTTCATTTCTCTTCGCAAGTTCCAAAAATGAAGATTTTACCTCGCTTGCAATTCAATATGGCTGACTCGTGCATAAGGCTTATTACCTACTTATCCCTTGCTTATAATAGGGCCGTAGGTTTGCAATGCCCCCAAAACCACTTTTAGGGCAAAGAGGAAGTATTTGTTATTCATGTTTCATCAAAAAAATTGAAAGAAATTCGAGGTCGATATAAGGACTTGAAATAGTGCCGCTTGTTTGCGCTTTCTAGCTGTAGAGCGCCCCCAACGACAGTAAATAGAGTTTCCGCTACTTGCTCAGAATGCCCCCCCCCCCTTAATTCGCAATTGCTGTAATCGGCTGATGACCAACGGTTCCTTTACGATTTGGGTGCATTTGTTGTGGAACAGCCCTTTTGAATAACTTTAAAATGCCCCCCCCCTCCCATAGGTTCCGCCCACTGAAAAAAAACCACGGCCGCGGCATAGCGCACGCGCAGGGCGGCCAATTTTTGTTGTTTATAAGGTGCAACCTGTATTAAAATTCCCATAGACAGTAGACACTAGTGCTAAATAGCCATACCTAAAAATTCTTTTTTAAAATACTCAGAACTCTCACAGCTATTTAATAAGCTGCACAGAAAAGTGATGATCGACATGTCATCTTTCGTTTTCTTTTCAATTTTTTGGGTGGATTGACCATTGACTTTTTGAGAAATTCCCACCCAAAGAAGACGACCTCTATTTTCCCCAAAGTGGAAAAGTAGCCATCTTGAGAAACGATCCCTCCTCAACATGGCAAAATAGCGCCACTTTCGAGCCCGATTGCATGCTCAGAATTGGAAGCCCCACGTCCGGGCCAGAGGTTCATTGCCATATCTCTT